AAAATATATGTCTATGCATGTCTAGATTTCTTATGTCTGAAATGCTATAGTGCTACAGTCAGTAATGCTGACTTAAAGATTTTATTACAATGGTCCAGTGATGTTTTGGAAAAACTTATTTTTTATATATATATAAGATAACAAATTAAAACAAACACAAATACATTTCCTAAAACAAATTTTATAGTAATTTTACTTTTAAGGAAGAATTTTTTTTGATCTCTTCAAAAAACAAATTCCCAATTTTGAAGGCTTTGGACAATAGTTAAGTATATAGGTTACATGTAGGTATAAAACATTTTGGTAGGGTAGAACATGAAGGGTGCTTGTTTTATTTCATCAGGTATAGGGAAATTTATATAAAATACATTGCATGAGGGACAGAGCACCTGCACAGGACCTTATAAACATTTTAATGTTTAGCTCATCTTGCCCCAAGGGCCAAGTGGCTTATGCTGTGGAACAGTATTTATGGTCTGTCCGTCATCTTACGCCAACTTCTTCATTTAAACAATTTCTTCATGATAACCAATGGACCAAATGTTTTGATATTGGTATGTTCCAAGGATAAAACCAGACAAAGTTTGTGAAAAGAAATAACTTTGACCTATGTTCAAGGTCACAGGGGTCAAATTTGTTAAAGGGTTATTTCGCAGAAGTTAGAATTTCATAAGATACTTTTTGAGAAAATTGTGCAATAGCATGTACTTATATTCTTATTGAAATCGCATGTCTGGATTTCCCCCGCAAAAATCTTTAAACCTTTAAATGACATCTTCTCATGAACTATAAGGCCTAGAGGCATGATATATGGGTGATATGTTCCGTTGATGAAGCCTGACAAAGTTTGCAAAAAGAAAGTATATTGACCTAAGTACAAGGTCACAGGGGTCAAATTTATTAAAGAGATATTCTGCCCAAGGTAGGATTTCATATGGTGCTTTTTTGAGAAAATTGTACAAAAGCATCTACTTAAATTCTTATGGATATCGCACAACCCAGTTTCCCCCAAAAAATAAATTTTCGTTATTTATTTGAAGAAATTCCATTTAGGTCTAGCTAGATCTGTTTACAAATGTTCATGCTGCCTTGATGACATGACAACAGGTTTGCGCCTGCTGCGCAATACACTGTAAACTAATGGAAATGACGACTCCCACGGAGACACGTTTAGGGCAAAAGAAAACAGTTTCTATGCCATAGAAAAAGAAGAGAAAGTTGAAATAGGTAAGACCAAATCACAATTGGGAAACAGTTTGAGAGTTGGCAGCAATTTATGGAAGAGTACAACCAGTGAAAAAGGAACGAAGATGCAGTGGACAACTGATATATTTGTTTTTACAGTCTACCTTTCAAAATGATCACACGATAAACATGCTATATTTACACATTCCAGTTTTAAACTGATCAGGAGGTGTTTCCGCCAATTTCGCCAGTCCGACGTGACCACCAGAAGGATATTTTAACAATAATTTGAATAGTCATAAGAGAGACATTAAAAATGAATAGAACAACAAAAATATCTTTGCAACATGGGCAGAATATCTCTTTAAAACATTTGAACGACTTTGTCTCATGTACTAAAACGCCAAGAGGCATGGTATTTGGCTGGTGTATTTGTATACCAGGTGAATGCTGCAGGCCCAGTGTTTAATGCAGTTTGATTGGCATTGACTATAAGCATTACCTTGTATACATCAAACTAAAATAACCCAAGCAGCATTTCAATTGAGTTCAAGGCCGCCAGTACAAACACTGTATGTACAACATTGTTATACACAACATGTACCTCAGGGGCTGAGAAACTGCAACATCCCAGTGATACTGTTACAAAAATTAGATAGACTGTAGTGGCTTAAAGCATGTCTGTGCTACACCATTAAAAAACCTGTATTGTTAAGTGTACATTCCAGAATCCTAGCTATAGGTGTAAATATTTCACCAGGTAACTTGGTTTATCACGGTTACTGGAAAAAAACCTTTTTAGTTGAATTGGACCTGTATGTGGTATAGTCAGATCTTTTCAAGGAGCCACAATTATCAAGCTGCCCTTAAAAGTTTATTTATCATTGTCTTGTCTCCGCCAGGCTGTTTACTGTAAAATTAGCTTTTACCCTATTATCGGGAACTCTTTATACGTCTGTGAAGAGACAACCTGTAAGAATTCTTCACTGTATAGAGACCACCTCTGTTATGATAACTACACAAATGAATGATCTCTGTATCTAGATATTACCTCTGTAAAGTGACCATTTCTGTTTAGTTAAATGTACCTCCTGTTAAGAGACTGATGCTGTAAAGAGACCATTACTGTTAAAGATATAACCCTCTGTAAATAGAATACCTCCATTTGAATACCACATCTGGTATGTTATGTTATCAATTCTGTAAAGAGTCCTCTTCTGTAAAGAGATCACCTCATTAAAGAGACCACCTCAGTAAAGAGACCACTTCAGTAAAGATACCATCTGAGTTAAGAGATCACATCAGTAAAGGTACCACCTCAGTAATGAGTTCCCCCCTGTAAGAGACAAGTTCAGTAAAGAGACTACTTCAATAAAGAGGCAGTCTTGTTCAGGTGACCTCTTACATGTATGTAAAGAGATCACCTTTTTTAAGAGACCACCTCTTTAAAGAGGCCACCTTAGTAAATTGACTATCTCACTAAGAAATCACCTTGGTAATGAGACCTCCTCAGTAAATTGACTATCTCACTAAAGAGATCACCTTGGTAATGAGACCTCGTCAGTAAATCGATCACCTCAGTAAAGAGATCACCTTTGTAATGAGACCACCTCAGTAACTTGACCACCTCAGTAAAGAGATCACCTTGGTAATGAGACCACCTCAGTAAATTGACCACCTCAGTAAAGAGATCACCTTGGTAATGAGACCACCTCAGTAGATTGACTACCTCAGTAAAGAGATCACCTTTGTAAGACAACCAAAGATAATTTTTGTCTTTTCCTTTTGGTGATCATTTAGTTTTTATACAGCTTTAATGGCTGTTAAAGCATCAAAAAACTACCAGGATGTGAATGCAATAGACTGTATGACTTGTTTATCTGCCATTTACTCACATAAGTCTGTCAATTGTATTAGAATGTGATTGACATGTGTTCCACACCTGTATATTTACATTTATCTGGTTAAGAACTCTAGCCCTGAACATCAAATCATTCATCAAAATGTTGTTATCTTAACCAAGGAGTTTTCATAGGATTTAAAAAAAATTCAAATTTGAAACTCTTTAGGTCTAAATCTAGTCAGATTGTTTCGAAGACTGTTTTGTGTACTGTTGTACAGATACTGATACTTACAGTATGTTATAAATACCACTAACAGTAGCTATATCCGTATGTATCTGTTGAACTAGGATATATAGTTATAGGTGATGACCTGTGGTGAAGGTAACATGTTTCAATGTGTCAACTACACAGTGCCTGTACATGTCCTATCAAACAAATTCAGATCAAGTGATTGTGACTGTGTTATATATTTATGTCATGATAAATAAATAAATAAATTAAAAAAAAAAATTAATTTATTTATTCATTTATTTATTTTTACATCAACTATTACTGCCTTTTGGCCTTTCAAGATTAATTTTTTTAATGAAAATTACCAGAATTCACCAACAACCTGACTTTCCTCTAATTATCCCCTTTCCCCTCCCAAGTCCATTTCCAGCACGGTTATTACAAGAGAAATATAGTATTTGTTACATATTTTATTGTGTGATGGATCTGTTGAAGACATGTCCATCCCACCTTATCTGACCACCTGCCTTGTCTGCTTGTCTTACCATCCTCATAGTTGTGTTTTTAGTAAATAGATTTTTTTATATTTGGAAAAAGCTGTCCCTTAGTGATCAACAGACTAGCATTCAAAATATGCTGTTTGAAGTTGACAGGATTATAATTCCACTTTTATTCTCTTAAAGATGTTATTTAAGCAGTTTTTTAAAATGATTTTTGACATTTTCTAGGATAAGATGAATTCTCAAAAATATATCTTAGAAATAAATGATAATAAAAGTAATCATTATATGTGAGGTAACGTTTTACTCAAATTAAATTTGAACTGTTGGAAAAAGCAGACTTTAATATTTTACTGCATGTATGTAAACAGAGTTAAACTCTTTCCCCCTTCTTATTGCAGAAAATGAAAACAAATTTGTGAAGGTGTTTCGTTGTTGCTGTTTAAGAAAAGTAACCAGATAAAGCCAAGAAAATGGATTTTTTGACTGTAATATTGCTGGTTATCTTCTGTATTTTTGGTGAGTAATTTGATCTTGGTACCCTGTTTAACTTGGGTAAGCAGGGAGTTGTTAGTTGATATGATGTTTCCTAGAGAATTCATTTGTTTCAACAGCAGAATTATACTTATCATTTTTAAAAAAAAAAATACCTAAAAGAGGAAAATACCAATACATCTGCTTGACCATAATGAATTAAGCATTGGAATTAAAGAACTATATGTGTCATTTAAACCTTTCGGCGCTGTAGGCGACTGAAGTCGACGTGCAGACAGGCCGCCATAGGCGATTTTAGTCAACAATTTTTGCCATTGTTTTTGGATATTTTCCGGAAAATATTTGGTGCTGAGCTGTACATTGTGAGAAATATTTGGCGCCGAAAGGGTTAAGCATGAATTAAAACATGGGGGTCAGTCTGGTTTAAAGAATTGTAAAGAAGTGTTTAGAAGGCATGGTAGGATGGGAGTGAGTGGAGTAAAACATCTCTAATGAACCACTGTTCAGTTGGAGCTGAGTCAATATTTACTGTTTGTCTGAACTGATGTGGCTTCTTTTGTATTGTTCAGGGTGAGTTGAGAATTTCAAAATGATCATCAGATCATGAACTGTTGTAATCATATCAATACTTATTTTCACTGCATTAAAATAGCATATGTTCACCATTTTATTTTATTACTGTAACGTGAAACAGTTTCAGCAATGTAAAATCCCTTTAATGACTTTCATATTGATTAACTGCTTAATGTGTGATATTTTACCAGGCATTGTGATGAGCCAACCGTCAATTGATCAGACCAGTGTGTTACAGCATCACGCCAATGTAGACGATACAATACGCATGGATTGTAAAGTCATGAACGTTGGCACATCTACGGTATGTATATTACAGAATAGTAATACGTTATTGAAAGGGATTGTTTTGTTGAAAATGCATTCAATCTTATCTAGAAAGGCCACTCAAGGAAGCAGAGAAAAGATGTTAACAGAACATGGACATCTATTTAGGAGATGAAAGTCAGTGATATTCTTATTCACAGCAATTAATATTTATCTCACCAGGTCCGAAGGCATTTCTGGGCACCTGTCAACTTTCGATTAAAAATCACTTCTGTTCATGAACAACTGGATTGATTTTGTATAAATTTAGTCAGAAGCATCCTTGGGGGAATGGGAATCAAGTTTGTATAAATATTGGTTCTTAGTCCTTAGGGCCTGAAGAGCAGGGCCAAAAAAGGAAAAAGTTATTTAAATTCCTTTTCTGCTGTGGAAAGGATTAGATTTTGCTCAAATGGTCTAAAGTGTTTTTGGATGAAGTGGAATCTTAAAGACAGGGATTTGTTATATACAGGTGGTCTTTATAGACAGGTATTTGTTATATACATGTGGTCTTTATAGACAGGTATTTGTTATATAGAGGTGGTCTTTATAGACAGGTATTTGTTTTAAATTGTTTTATAGACAGGTATTTGTTATATACAGATGAACTTTATAGAAGTGTATTTAGTATATTCAAGTTGTCTTCATTGACATATAAAAGTGGGCTTTATAGACAGATATTTGCTATATTGTTGAAGTTTTTATAGACAGGTTTTTGGTATATACAAGTGGTTTTTATAGACAGGTATGTGTGCTATACAAGTGACCTTTGTAGACAGGTATATTTGGTATAGCATTGACTTTTACTATGCTTGAATACATTTATGTAAAATTTTCTTCACAATAGAGAATGAATATCTTTTCTTATAAATGAAATTACAGGTGACATGGACATTTGTGGACCACGATGTTTTGATCTCCTCTGGCTACGACGTTTTTACTGAACAGGGTGTAGAGTCACGTTACAGTGTCCAGCGTCCAGCAGGTCAGTCAGTCATCACTGTAAACACACGCTCTATTACAGATCATGTTGGAAATCTCTGTAAAATGTCAAAATGAGGCTAACCACCCACAGATATTGAAATGTGCCAACACTATACATTTTCTTAAAGTCGAAATATACCTGCATATTTTTTCACAGAAAAATTTGTTACCAATTATAGATGTAACCCCAGGGAGATGGAGGGAAGGGGAAGTGGGGTGAGGGGGGACAGGTAATCAGAATTTATGGATAGTCCCTGATTTTGTATGAAACAATAACTCATTGGCAGATTTAGTTGCAGGAGTCATTTCTGATGCTTACAAATATTCTGTATACTAAATTCATCCTGCAAGAAGTCTCATATAGGTATGTAATTCGCTAATAGGGGATGAGCTTAATTAAAGACAAATGAGTCATATTTGTTGTCGTTCTACTTATTAGTAATAGATATTGGTGGGATTATTATTCGACTAGGGCTAATTGCAGGATAAGTCGTATATTTTGATATTCTGAGCAGAATTCTGGATCCACCTTGTACCATATAGTGATCTATTTAATTTTAAGCCCCACTTTGGTAAGAGGGGAGGGGGATGTATATAGTAATATTTTACTTTGTGTGTGAGTTTGTGATAACCTTGTGCAAACGATATCTCGTGGACCCCTGAACAGATTTGTTTCATACCCACACCATGATATAACACCATGGTCTGGTTTTTTGTTATCAGGGTTTAAAAGTCAAAGATCACCCTTGACCACTTTGCAAATACATGTACAATGTACATGTGAAAAGCTTGTGTACAAGATTTGGTGTGAGAGGCACATTTATGTGAGCCCTTGCTCACTTTGCTGTTTTTTCTGTAGAAGATTTATTTTTGTAGAATCTGTTTTTACTCGTATCCTTAAACTGGTATGTCCACATGATTGTAAACAAGAAAAAAAAAAAATCAAAAAAGAAATGAATTTCAATACTTGTAGATTTTGTGAACACTACGTTTGTACTTATCAATGATATCATCAAATGCCAAGGAAATGGATTTTTTTTTGAGCCCAACAAAAATATATGATTTTAAAATATATTGTACTTTTAATAAATGACTATGTTGTGTTACAGATAGTGGCCTGTACGCTTTCTATACACTGGTGATAAGTGGTCTTCAGGAGGAGGACGCAGGCCATTACATGTGTGACATACAAGGAACCGATATTTCATCTGTCCACACCCTCAATATCACAGGTATGCACAAATTATCTCATATAATAGTATTTCTTACCTGGCCAAAAACAATCCCTTTTTTATTGAGAAAGATGACTAATTTAACTTTTTTTAATCTAAAAAACAACAGATCAAACAATATTTGTGTAAAAAGTGAACAGTCAAATGATACCTATGTTAAAGTGATAGATTTAACACATGTTTTTCATTTTTGTAGAGGCGCCACCAAAACCTGAGGTTCCAAATGTGAGCCAGAACTTCAATTTTACAGGTAAAATTATCTCAAAGACTTCTAGTTACCAGACTGATAGCACAATATTTTTGTTTATTTTCTATCTGATTTTGGTGAATATGTATATATAAAACTGGCCTGATTACTGCAGGTCTTAGTTTAAATAGTTTCGCATATCATGAGAATCGGTATGGGAATATTTTTTTGTCTGAAGATGGTGTGGAGATATTAGTTAGTCTGAAGGATATACAAGAAATACAGGTCTAAGGTTCCTGTATGCCGGCCTGTAACCCTCACTCTGTCAGTATTAAGTTTGTTTACCTATTTACAGAATGCTGTGTCAATGAGAATGTGTCCAGTTCCTGTATGCCTGCCTGTAACCCTTACTCTGTCAGTGTTAGCTTTGATCCTGCCACTGCCTGTAGTACAGATCTTTATAAAATCCTCAGATGTGGCTCAGGTAGGCCTTACTATTATAAATTTTACCATTATCCATATTAAATTTTGTTGAGAAGAATGATAGACAGCAATTGATGTTGATAGATAAGATTCTAGGCAGTGTCATTTATTAGCCTATTTTCACAATGAATTCAATTTTTTCATAACATTTAAATATAGGTCATAGTTAAATGCCAAATATTCTTGAAAATTTTAATGTCAAAGTTCTATGATGAAATAAAGACAAGTATTAAACCATTAATCTGTTTTTCTGTGATATTGATCAGTTCCATTGTGATGTTTATTAGCCAAGCTAATAACTTTTTATGTACAGAGGGTAAGAACCATGCTGGCTGTTGTAAAAGAAGACTGGTACCAAACAAGTGTTTGGATCTCTGTCTTGGAAGACTTCCGTCCAATGCTGATGACTCATACCTTTCCTGTCTAAACCACGTCATGGACATGTTCGCATGTGTGGAGCAGGGCAGAGGTTTGTGATTTCATTGAAAATACAATGATTTCAAACTTTTTTGTTTGCATCTGAAAAATTTTTGTCTGTTTCTTTTATTTACAAGAAACTCATTTAATATTTGATAGCATTTAGAGTTTGAAATTGTCGCTGGATATTTATAATGTTTGTAAATTTCACTTTTGTTGATAGAACAAAAGATGTACCGAAGCCTGTTTAATCTGATATCCTTTATGAGATATTCTGCTCTTCATCTTCACGAACATCTTAAAGATCTTCAGAGACACAAATTAGATATGGTTGGTTATTTATGAATGTTTGGCATAGCTTTTTGTTTGTTTGTTTGTTTTTGTTTTTTGGAATGAAATCATTAAATCTGATCAAACAGGGATGTGAATACAATTTTGTTTGAAATAAGTTGACATTATGAAGATATGGAACCAGAATGTAGTTGTTTGTGGTGTTGTTTCAGACCTGTTGCCGAGCCCCCCTGTCTCTGTATCAGCTGTGGCTACCTCACAATTCGACTCCATACTGGTGGCATGGCAGAAACCTCTGGATAATAGTGATATTGTGACATCGTACAGGATTCATTACAAAGTCAGCATGAGTGGCACTCTATATTCTAGTGTAAGTTCAGTTTTTCTATAATAAGGTGAATTTTCTTATTACCGTCTTAAATTTGTGGAAGTGAGGCTGAGGTGTTGCTTTTCTGATTGCAACAGCATTGGCACTGCACTTAAAGATATCTTGCTCAGAAGGTTAAACTTTTTCTAAAATAGGTACATAGCCAGTGGATACCTCATCCCATCCATCATTTGCAAAATATCTTCCAGATTAAATGGTCTAGCAAATCTAAAAATTAGTGTAATAATTACATGTGATTCTTGTAATGTAGATGTCTTCAGTGCAGATGTTTTTTTCAAAGTCAGTTCTAAATAATACACAAAAACCATTGTTTCTTTTGAACTGACACCTGACTAGAGTCTGATGTAAAGTGCTGACCCTTTGGACAAACAAAATATTGGCAACAAAACTACAGGTAGTTAAAATGATTCTGTGAAATCAACTACAAGCCGTGCAAAATTTTGAAAAGTCAAACTGAAAACTTAGATCACCGTTACAAACTTTCTTCGTTGCTTAGCAGCCAAATTGAAGTTTAGTATACAATATTAGGAAGTGTGAGGTGAGTCCAGGAGTATTAGGGTTTTGTTTGTAGTATTATTGTCACTAAGTTATCTGTATTTTTCAGACACCTTTGATTGACAAGCATGACATGCTGTTCTCCCTATCAAACCTAGTAAAGAACACTGAATATGTGATGTATGTGACCGCCAGCTCTGACCATGGATCGAGCCAGCCGTCCGAATTTGTTTATGCTACCACTAGAAGCGGTAAAATTATTACATCATTTCACTCATAGCTATTGTGCATGATAGGTCTTACAGATATACAGATTCAAATATTTTTCCCTTTTTGGGTCATAGCTGTACTCGATAATTTTGCTCCTTAAAGTATAATTTCAAAGTATACTTTAGTATCCCACATTTTATATTCATTAAAGGGAGCGAGTTAGTGTGGCTTGTATCTAGTGTTAATATAGTCTATATCTCTTAGCTGACAGAGAATTCTTCTTTGGCTAATTGGAAGAGCTAGTTAATTGTTATGCCGGAGACCCAGTTGTAACTTGTGGTAGAGACACTTCACATATGTATATACTGACACTCAAAAGTGGGATTATGTCTTGATATCTCTCAATTTTCTTTGCTTTTAATTTTATCTAAATATTTTATATTTTTCAGAAATATCAGCTTTGACCAACAACGAAACAATCTATGGTAAATATCAGTATCCGATTAAAAAAAAATAGAAAAAAATCAGATTTTGCTCTGTAATTACTAATTAGATGTGAAATAGATATTATGTTTTAGTAATCATCAAGCACTTAAATTTAGGAATAAAGGCTTAATTTCAATTCCAGAATTGATCCCACAAACATGAATGGACTTACAGTAACATTGATCTCTGTACTTGATCAATCTTTCTGTAAAACTAAATACAGATTCTCGTTCATGTGTTTGATTGTCTACAACTGATTTTTCTTGTTTATATATGGAGTTAATGCCCTTTCTTTTGACTACATGACAGAATGCTGTAGACGGCGTGCGGTCAAACCAGAATGTCAAAATTTACTCTGCAACTGATTTCTTTTGTTTATATATGGAGTTAATGCCCTTTCTTTTGACTATATGACAGAATGCTGTAGACGGCGTGCAGTCAAACCAGAATGTCAAAATTTACTCTGCAACTGATTTCTTTTGTTTATATATGGAGTTAATGCCCTTTCTTTTGAGAATGTCAAAAGTCAAAATTTACTCTGCAAATCTGATGTAATGACTCAGCTGAATCCTGATGTTGTCTTGGGCCGTTGTAGCGACGACTTCAACAGCATACTTGCATGTTATGCAGGTAAAGCTCTCTAAGCACCACTAATTCATCCATTGTCATTATGAGGTGAAGTAAATTCCTCTAATATCATTTGTGTCTGAAAAAGTGATATTAAGTGTCATATCTTGAAATTTCCTGAAATTTGCTTAAGGTGGTGCGGTAAACTTTGATGGCTGCCTTTCAGTTTCTCCATGTGATGCATTGTGATGGACACTTTTAAGTTACCCTGTGTGGTGAATTCAGATGGACAATTTTGAATAACCTCTTGTGATAAAATTTTCATTGACACCTTTAAGTTACATTGTCAATCTATTGTCTTTTTATGCTCGTCTGTTTGTCCTCCGTTCATCCATCTGTCATAACATTGTCCGGAGCGTAACACAAAAACTGTAAAAGGGTATCGACATGAAATGTCATAGGTAAAAGATCTTAATGAAAATGAATGCATTGTACTAGAACCATAACTCTCTTTTGCATAATTTAGGAGTTATTGCCCTTTGCTATTTTCATACTAAAATTTTGTACAGAGGATAACACAAAATCTATGAAAGATATCAACATGAAACTTCATAGGTAGATCAATCTTGATACGGATAAGTGCAGTGTACAAGGACTGAACTCTTGTCTACATGATTTAAGAGTTATTGCCCTTTCTTATTTTTCATAGGTAAATTTTGTCTTATTTGGGGAGCATAACCTGTCTCCAACAGTCCTTGTATGTTGATAAGATGATTGATATCTGTTTGATGTCACTGATTTAGTTAGGTTGGTAAATAACGATAGGTTTTGTTGGATAGTAACCTTGGTACAGCACTTAACTTTCACCTTCCCAACCAGATTCTGGATCCTATGATAAGATGTTAAAACATATGCGGTCACCTTCCTGCCTTCATGAATTCTTTCTTTTATCTCACCACTTATGCACTTACATCCAGAACAACCAGAGTTATAAGTGTAAAGATGATACAGTACAACTTTCGGTTTAAGAGAAAGAGGCCCCCATATGGTTTTTCTGTAGGATATTACTTATATACTCATTCACAAATCTAATTGTTTGTTTTATATATGAATCTCTTTGTTTTTTTACTTATCTTAAATACTTAGACATTTACTCGTCTGATTCATCCCCTCCATCTTCGAAATTCTAATTCAAATAATCAAATAAATTAACGTACAGCAGTTATGTAAATGAATGGATGGCTAAAAGCTATGATATGTACCTGTATGCATGATGTAAAATTTGGGTGATATTTGTCATCAGAGTACAAATGATTGTGTATGAATGAAAGTAGGTATAATGTATAGATAACTGATTCAGATGAGATATATACAGAATGTATAATAAGTCTAAATATAGGAATATTTTGTGTAAATGAGTGAATTAATTTATTAAAAAAAAAGATGATATAGTTTCTTTTTGAAATTTTGTAAAATTAATTAAGTTTATTGTTATACCTCTGATTGCTATAGGTGAACGGGATCAGTCAGCTTGCTGTGGTAGAATGCATGTCCCGGAACATTGCTTCAGTTTCTGTGGTGGTAATAACATCGCCTTCTCCTGGAACATCACCCAGTGTATCATGAGAATGGCAGTTATTGATGGTTGTATAGAGGAAGGCAGAGGTAAAAATAACCATTTGTATTAAAATGATTACAGTCATTTGATTGTTGTAGTATTTAACTCTTGTTGAATCTGACACAAGAGTTAAAGATTCTATTTATCACATAACTTTTTCACAAAAAATGAAATGAAACTTATATAATTTGTTTTTCTATGAGGAGTTCTATAATGAGACTGAGTAAACACTGTCATTTAGACAATGGTATGTTGTATAAATGATGATAATGATGTTATTACATACATATCATACTTTATGGGGTTTTCCATGACAGAGCAGGGTATATATTACATTACAATGTGTAGAGGATTTCACTGCTGAAACAGTGTATTGTCAAATATGCATGATAACATTTCCTCTGCGATTTAAAGCTGAATATAATAAAAAAAATTGTTGCAGGATGATTATCTATCTAGAGTGTTTAGATTGTGCAAAATCAAACTTTAACAAATCTAATGGTATTTTCTTAAACAGTTTGGTTATAGCTGCAAAGAAGATTACAAATTTGGTAGATAAGTCAATTAAAAAAAACCAAATTGTACTCAACAGTCAATGTGATTTTATGTGTGTATTTAGATATCATCCCCGTAGCCCCGACACAATTTCAACTTGTGAGGTTAGAATGGAACACAGCGGAATTCTCCTGGGAAAAGGCTGGCACTGCTGTTACTACTTCATACGATTTATTCTACAGAACAATATTCCCCCCAGACACAGCATATCAGAAGGTACTGTATTACTCGCATACATTGCTTTTTCAGATTTAGAATTATAACAAGTATGAAAAAGTTACTTTAATAAGAGAAAAAGGAATGAAAATGTTAAGAGTTTAATATGTATTGATTGGTCTTGTAGTTGACTGTATCTGGTAACACAGAAGCAGTGATAAACGGCTTGCAGGAACTGACACAATATGAGGCGTTTGTAGTCGCTAAGAATGAAAACTTCACAAGTCTTCCAACATCTTCTATAGGATTTCTCACCTATGGTAAATATGTCATATTTTACCTGTATCTACAATACATACAATATGATTTATGTCTGTTAATTTTCATGGGTCAAAATTTTTTGTGATTTTCCTTCACATCGACAGAATGATATTCAATTAATCAAAATTTTGTGATCTGCATGTAAAATGATGACGTTAATGTACTGCTAATTAGTGAAAATATCATTCTCAGGAAATTATGTGGCTGTATAGTGTCTTCATTTCACATTTTCCATTTGATTAAAATTTAATCAATGTTATGAATGGCTCTGAATTATTTTTGATATTTGTGTGAAACTCATATTGTTGATGTGCATTTTTGCTTCTTCTTTTTTCAGCCAAACCACGGTCTCCTCCAACACCAGCACCAACAACTGCACCAAATCTTTTCTACAACTATACGGGTGAGTATCTCATTGACTAAATTTCAATCTTCTACAAGTCAATCTTAATTCTTTTGGTATAATGTAGCTGGATGTAGTGTGTATCACCTAAAAATATTCACATACTCGGGAGTTATATTCACCACTTCATGAGTTGAAAATCCTGTAATTTAATTTTCCTGTTGTCTATTTCAGCCTGTTGCATTGAAAGAGACATGCCAGCAAAGTGTCTACCTTTATGTGACTATGATCACTTCAAGGGGGACATCAATTTTGGTCTTGCCCTTGAATGCGGTGACCACATACTTTCTCTTCTCATTTGCGGCTCAGGTAGGTTTTGTTGATACTGATATCCGTGTACAGTGATAATTTGTTTTAGGTCCACCTAAATCTTTATACGCTTTCTTCTGCTTTCACCAAACTTGCAATATGTGTAAGTCCGTAGAAAACGTGCTTCACATTTACTGTAAAGTTATGGCCCTTTGTTTATTTTTGATAGCCAGGCTTGTTGGTAGTGACTTTATTGAGCATAGAATTGTCAAATACAGGCATCTAATTTACAGTGGAATGTTATACAAAGAATGTACTTTGTGTAACACCCCAAAATACTTTCTCTCAACAGAATTATAAACAAAATTCTGTATTTAATTCTGAACACATTTTCAAGTACTTTCATATCCGACATTTTGATACTTTTAAAAAATTGAATTTGTAACCAAATAATACAGGATAGTATGCACTTTATGGTAAGATAAAACAATTACTGTAAAAATGTGTGCACCTACGTAATGTTGGGGCTGAAAATAGTAAAGAATTACTGTAAAATTGTGTGCACCTACGTAATGTTGGGGCTGAAAATAGTAAAAAATTACTGTAAAAATGTGTGAACCTACGTAATGTTGGGGCTGAAAATAGTAAAAAATGACTGTAAAATGTGTGAACCTACGTAATGTTTGGGCTGAAAATAGTAAAAAATGACTGTAAAAATGTGTGAACCTACGTAATGTTTGGGCTGAAAATAGTAAAAAATGACTGTAAAAATGTGTGAACCTACGTAATGTTGGGGCTGAAAATAGTAAAAAATTACTGTAAAAATGTGTGAACCTACGTAATGTTGGGGCTGAAAATAGTAAAATATCACTGTAAAAATGTGTGAAACTACGTAATGTTGGGACTGAAAATTGTCAAAAATGACTGTAAAAATGTGTGAACCTACGTATTGTTGGGGCTGAAAATAGTAAAAAATGACTGTAAAATGTGTGCACCTACGTAATGTTGAGGCTGAAAATAGTCAAAAATTACTGTATAATGTGTGAACCTACGTAATGTTGGGGCTGAAAATAGTCAAAAATGACTGTAAAAATGTGTGAACCTATGTAATGTTGGGCTGAAAATAGTAAAAACTTACTGTAAAATGTGTGAACCTACGTAATGTTGGGGCTGAAAATAGTCAAAAATGACTGTAAAAATGTGTGAACCTACGTAATGTTGGGCTGAAAATAGTAAAAAATGACTGTAAAAATGTGTGAACCTACGTAATGTTGGGGCTGAAAATAGTCAAAAATGACTGTAAAAATGTGTGCACCTACATAATGTTGGGGCTGAAAATAGTCAAAAATGCTTTGACTGGACGTTGTCTGGAAGCCAAGAAAAATTGATCTAGGAATGTTCAGCTAACACGTCAGACCAAAACTAGAAAGTATTCTCTTCAAAATTTGTTTTAATCTTATTTACTGACTTTTAATTACCTTCTGTCTAATTATAGGTACAATACAATAAAAGAAAAAAAAACTGCCTTAATCTTTGTGCACTTCTTGTTTGTAGAACTCTTGTTCAGTAAAACGATATTGATTTGAGTTTTGGGATATATACCTGGTATCTCTATAGATCAGCTATAAATATAATCTAGATAGGATGTTTGTTTTAATATGTCAGGGTACTGTGAAATTATTAATTTTGGTAGGGGTTTTATTTTCATTCAGTTTCTGGATACTCTCAGGTACAAATGTATACCAGGTATGTCCCTAAGTGTTAATAATTAAGCAGACTTGTAGAGCTATATGAATCCATGAAATCATGTGTCCCCAGAATAGTTCGATAAACCACGCAAATTGAACCTCATGTAAATATCTGATTTTACAGAAAGTTTTGTGTTTAACAGATGGGCGTAATCACGAAAGTTGTTGTAAGACAAAGGGTGTTATGGATACATGTATACCCCTGTGTAGTGTGACCAGCTATGATGATGTTCCCGATGCTATCCATGCGAATCCAATCATGTGTGCAGGATACACGCTACCCATAGCACAATGCTACACTGAGGGAATAGGTATGTAGTATTGTACCTCTATGTATACTGATAAAAATTATCCTGTTATAAGCCCAGGGTGCCAATTCAGCTTCCGACTGAAATCTAAGAGGTGGGCTTATTACAGGTCACAGGATAACGCTTATTTACTTATTACCAGGTATGGGCTTATTATTAAGTATTTAATTTTACGATTGTTAAGCAGTTATCTTAATATTTTGACATTTTTACCTATATTTTCATATTAGATTCTATCACTGTTGTTATCACAGTTGGTCTTTTTCCTATTGTGTCTAGTATCATGTGACGTCTTGCATTAGTGAGTAATCAGAAATAATTTTTTCATTCAACTGACAAAGTTATAAAAACATATTGTATTTATTTCAGTTTCCCTCCCTATGGCTCCACAGAGTGTTCAGGTGATGTTGGTTACAGCCCACTCAATCCAGCTGAGCTGGGATCCCCCTACTCGAGGCCCTCATCCCCAGAACTACACAGTTCTCTATCAGATGGAAAACTCGGAATCGTGGCAAATGGTAAATTTCTTTCAAGAGACTCCTCTTGGGCTTGTTTGTTTATGCGGATAAACTGGTTTGCTGGCACTGTATGTGAAACATTTCAGACATATTAATACAGGACTTAAGAGGCTCGTAAGAAAGCACAATGAGATCCGTCCTTATTTTGTAAATGAACAACCCTGGTTGAAACAATCAAACCAGCAAAGGAAAAGAACCTTGTACACAATTATTTGAAAAAAATATTTTGCTGGTTTCCTGGCTTTCTTTAAAACACACAGTTGCAGGGGTACTTTTCTATGTAAATGTCATGATTTTTTCACACATATCAATTAAGTAAAATCAGCTGTTTTTAGTATTATAGTCTTTTGTCACCGTTAATCTGATGTTCCAAAGATGATTTTTATATGATTCTTCGAAACATTTTCTAAATCTTATGTCTTTGTTTCAGCAAACTGCCACTAAAATACCATTCAACCTAGTAGGTCTGAAGGATGAAACACGTTATAGTATCAAGGTTGTCTCCGTCAATGAGAATGGCACGAGTGTTCCTTCCTATGTCATCATGCAAGCCACTCTGCCATACTGTACGTGTTCCAGAAAAATGTTGTCATTTCTATGTTCTGCCATAAGACAGATAAAACTGATGTAACAGTGTTTTATTATAAAGGGACATTGATATGGCCACTACAGGCACATAATACATCTATATCCATGATATATCCCCATTTCCATAACATATGTCCATCATAGGCACAGTATATCAGGACACAAATTTTGTTACATTTTTGCCAGTGAAATATAGAGAAATATCTCATTGATAAAAGTGTTATTTTTCACTAGTGTAAAAATAACACTTTTGCAGAGTTATGCCAAATATCGAAAAAAAAAGTGTTATTTTTCACTAGTGAAAAATAAAGCTTTCTTCGATATTTGAAAAAATAACATTTTTGCAGAGTTATGCCAGTGACAATAGAGAACACAAATCATTATATAAAATTTACAAATCATAAAGCCCCATACAAAAAACACAAAACCAGACATCTGAAGGGGTTGTTAACTTGTGACACGACCTTCGATTCCATGGTAAACATTAACGAAAATCAGCAAACAATGCAATGCAATACCTTGACAGAGATATAATCCAATCCCCCATCTGAATGTCATTAATGTACAGCTAACATTTTGTCTCATAGTGACATGAATAAATATATTTTCTATGTGAATATGAATATAAATTTACATTGAATTTTATTTTTGTGTTTACATATTTTTAATTAGTTTTTAGAAAACAGACTTTATTTTGTCTTGTACACCGTAGTTATAACGAGTGAGTAGTATCGGCAAAAAGCTTAGCCTCCTCCTTTTAATTCTAAATATGCCAGTAATTTGGCTTTTTTTGCTTGTGAAATGTGATAAATAGAATATCTAATAGTGTCTTCAGTAATAACAAATATATTTCACAAATGTGTCTGATATTTAGTGAAAGATACTAAAATGTTAGACACACTTGTGAAATATATTTGTTATTACTGAAGACACAATTAGATATCCTCTGTTTCTCTTCTTTTTAAAACCACACATCTCAGAATTTGTTTGCTCCATGACTTCTAACGCTGTGACAATAATTCTAATTTGACATTTTAAAAAATAGCACACCTTCTATAAATATACAGATTTTGGTTCAGTTAAACAGTTCCAACATCATTATGAATCGATCAAATTTCACTTATGGGCAAATTTTTAAAATTTTCACACTGAAAGTGTATGTCATGGAGAAAACACAATATAAAAATCTGTCTTTATTTTATTTTAATTATTTTATTATTTTATTTTAAGCACCTAAATCACTAAAATAAAGATACAGTTTTAATCTGAATTTTGACAGTGTCTTGTTGACTTGTTTCATGTCAGTGATGAATTTTGAATTTTACTTCTAACTCTTTAGATGGTGATAAAACCTGTGAATATGTTCGCTATCCCAACAAGACACTCACATATGAGACGGCTGTGCCAAGGACGGCTACCAGTACCAACACGAAAGAGGAGTGCGAGTCTGTCTGTAATCAGACCGACACTCTGGCAGCCTGTTTGGGCTACACGTACGACAATACTGGCAGTGGAACATGTGAGATCTTCTTGACCAACGATGGGGCTAAACTTGAGGATAAACCTGGCACAGACTTGTACAGGAAGAAGTGTGATATAATTGGTATGTCAGAAGGTATTGGTATATAGTTGTTGGGTGCATGATAATTTGTCATCACTGTAGTCAAAATATTGTACATACAGTTGTGTGTTTTTTTTTTTTTTTTTTTTAAAATTCAGATACATAAAGGTGATCATTATTTTCTAAATATAAACAAGAACTTGAATGAAGTTTTTTGTAAAACTTTGATTATCAAAAAATAAATATTTAAAATATAATTTTTTGTGATTAGTTATAGAAGTGATTAGTAGAAACCAATTATTTTATTAATTTTTTTGAATGAGGAGTTTTTGGTAAAACTTTGATTATAAGAGAAAAGTTAATTATCTTTTCATTTTTCTAAATGAAGTTTTTTGTATAATTTTGATCATCAGAAAATAAGCGTTGAAATTTAATTTTTTTTTGTGATATTTGGCAGAAATGATCAGAAGAAACCAATTATTTCATCAATTTTTCCGAATTCTAAGTGAGATATATATACAAGTACCATGACGTAAGAAGTTAACTGGGATAATTAAGTTTTTTTTATTCCTAGTCAATATCTTATATTCTCTAGGTCCATCAAGTAATGATACGGAGAACCAGACAGCATCATGGACCAACAGAACAGGTGAGTTGTGTTTGTGTCATCAACATGACACTAACTTCCCTATTACTCCAAATCGGGTAGAAAGACAACATAGATACCCAACTCTATTTAGGTGTTCAGAATTAAGAAAAAAAATTGTATATGGATTCAAAATAAGTATTGGAAGAAACAAAAAACAAAAAGTTGTGTGAAGATTCTGTTCTTGTTAAAAATATTCATTTTGGTTTGGTGTATTACTCTTTTGGGTCAAAAAACTTTCAAGTTAAAAGTATTCAAAATTTAATTTGCTGTAGGAGGACTTTAGAATTGTTTCATAAATAAATAAATCTTTTGACAGAATATGATTTGACATTGGAATATGCTAGGACGTATACACAGCCTACAATAAGCCCATGCTTGATGTATTCACGCACCATATATGTAGATGCTCAGGTCGATTACCACAAACTGATATACTGTTATATATGATTGCCTTGTAATAAGCCCCACCCCCTGATTTTGACCACGATATAATGTATGTATATAGTTGTCCTGAACTTATTGTATGAGAAATACAGAAATATTTTTCAGTTTCGGATTCAACCATCGATTTTATTTGTGTTTCCAGACTGTTGTCAGAGTTCAGATATCAGTGCTGAGTGCCAGTCAGTGTGTATGATGGAGGCTCCAGTCATGTCTCCTCTGGTGTGTGATATGGACTTTAACAAAGTGCTGGCATGTGTAGCAGGTAGGTACTATATAATCTCTCTCATAGCGTACGTAGGGTATTTACAGCTTAGTTGAGAGGAATATTCTTTCATAATTAAAACTCAAGTGAATGAAATATTGCTCTAAAGATCAAAGTAGTGTTTACAGAAGACTTTTCTACAGTTGGACTTTACTTAAAATTATAGAATTACTTGTTTCTTACTCAGATTTAAAAAAAAAAAGAAAGAAAAAACACTGCCACTAGATTTTAAGTGAAATAAAATAATTTCCAGTATATAAAAAATTATTCATGAAATTATTTTAGGTACAATGGAATTATTTTATGTAAGATGAAATGATTTAAAGATTATTGTGAAATGAAGTTTTTCATTGAATAAGAGTTTGTCCTTGTGTGATAAAATTGTGTGATGTTTGTATAGATGGACGAGACCATTCAAGATGCTGCAAGTCTAATGGTGTACCAACACCATGTCTGGGCTACTGTCAAGGTCAAGCGTTGCCTCAGGACACAGTCGGAGCCCTGTGTCTTAGTTATGTCGGCTCCATCGTCACATGTTTCAGCCAAGGTCTGTATGCAACTTATGGACATACTATTGTAAATAATGAGCTCTATTTTGAAATACATTTGAAACGGTTGGACTGGTTAAACTTGCAAGAAAAATGGCAGGTACAGATATTTGGCATGTGCAGATTGAGGGGTCAAGTCGTACCTGTCCGAGATGAACTTTCTGGATATTATTAGTTTTCAGAATTTCAGCATAAAATCTAGGGTTGGTGGACTCACATATTCCCAGGAGCATTATGCTTCAAAGTATGAATAAAATAGATGGTTTACCTTTAGTAAATTGTGTTATGCTTCTCAGGAAATTCTGAAACTGCATTTTGAGCTTAACATGTATCATGTCCAACATCCTGTACAAGTGCACTCGTGTTTAGTGAATAATCCAGACCACCTGATCTCTTTCAACTAGGATACATGAAAGCAGCTTGCATTTTAAAAATCAAATTAATTTCAAATTTTGAATGATACTGTTATGTGTGTTATGTGATGCCATTATGATTTGTGTTCCTAGGATTAATGAACCTACCAAGTCCTCCCCAACAGTTCAAGGTGGTTGAAAAACATGCCCGGTATATATTGGTGTCCTGGAGTCGTCCAAAAGAAAACTGTCCCGACTCCGAATGTTTCTATGTTCTCCAGTACATCAACCCTGGAGGAAGTGCAGTTAAGGTAGCAGACTCAGATATCTAGAGAATGTTAGATTTATAGAATGGATAATTTTAAAATGGAGATCAATGCATTAAGAAATTATGTTTCAGAGAAATAATGTAAATATGATTTATGTAGTATACGTAGAGATCAGTCAATACGTTTCTTAAAGAGAATGAAAATGAATGAATGTTCAGATATATTTTCAGTGATAAGAGCATTGAAGATTGGTTCAGTGCATTTTACCCCTTCTTCACACCAGAATGATTCTGACTTCACTTTCTGATTAACTTCAATAGTATTTCTTCTGTTTCAATGAATAATATCCCTACCTCATTTGAAATGGAATGAAAATAAAGTTATGACCATGTATTAAGACCACAGAATTTTATGAAGTTTGTAATGATTGAATACAATTTATATATAATACTTTTTGATAAGTCTTTGAAGTAAAAAAAAAAAAAAAAAAATATGAACCACATGGTACAGTTATTTTGATCTTTATATATCATTTGATGAATCTTGCAAATTATCTTACAGACTCTTGCTTGTCAATAGTATTCTCTACAAAACAGATGCATTCTTATTCATTGAAGTTAGTGAGAAAACCTGAATCCATATTTTCACTCAGACCTATTGCTACATCATTTTTGCCATTTCTTGCAATAAGCGTCTCCTGTAAAGAATCGTTCCTCGTTGATGTTGTATCTTAGATAGTTTAACAACCACTGCTGTTATTACTTGGGTTCATGACTAATTTAACAAATCCTCACTGCCAGCATTTTTTGTTTCAGATGCGGATGAATAATACTTTATACAATATTACGGGTCTTTCTCCAGAAACCCAGTACACTATTAGTGTGACAGCTTACAACAGGAACGGCAGCAGTCTGCCGGCTCCTCAGGTCACTGTTGCTACCTTTCCAGCAGGTAGTACAATTACAACTGTCCGTTAATTTTTATTGCCAACATACCATTGATAAGTCCATGCTTGGTATATGTAATACACTTTATCTCTCTTGTTTATAAATGGAGGAAACGATCATTTGGCAGGGTATTAATTCTTGTGATTAAAAGTGAAATCAGGGATTGGAGGGTGACGGATATGGAATGAATGAATTTGACTTGCTGAGAAATCATTACTTTTCATAGGGGATTTATTTTTAAGACATGAATTCATAGGTCCATGAACTGTTATAAGATGTATAAGTATATTTATTGAGCTATGTTTATCCATGAAATAGGGATTTGAAAAAAAAACCCACAAAAATCGAGCCTTATGAAATTAACATTTTGCTGTATATAATTTTTATGCCAAAGTTACTAGCAATGCTTTATCCTGTTTATTGCAGGAAGTTTAGTACTAAATCAGTTATCAAGAATATTGCAAAAGGATACAGGATAGAAAAAAATGGACAATAAGCCTTTATCTAGTAATAAGCCCACCTGTATCTTTCTCAATTCAGCAGAAATGCCTGTAAACGTCCCCTTCTGCTTTGAGTTGAAAGATTTTATGTTGCCCTTTGCCATCCTCCTGAAGCTTATTTCAGGAAAATATTGTAATTCTTTATAAATTGTTGTTATCCTTTTATGTTGTTTACAAAGTAATGATGTTCTTTGTGTGTTGTTTTTCAGGTTTTATGGACATCAGTGTGACCCAGAGCCCCCAGGGAGTTTTGCCAAAGGGCCAATCAGTACAGCTAATCTGTGATGCCTATGGCAATCCGACCCCGACATCTGTTTACTGGATACTGAACAACAAGCAAACTATGAACTCCCGTATCATCACTCTCACTGCTGACGAAGACTCGGAAGGTTTATACAAGTGCATGGCATCTGTTCCCAATCTAGCCACTTCAACAAGAAGTCTCAACCTAAATGTCAGATGTAAGTCATATTTCTTGGTCATTTTTGCTTGCCTTGTCTATCAGAATGACCTAAGAGCTTATACAATGAAGATGAGTCAGTCATCCATCTGATGCCCCACCAGCATTCAGTAAATACTTTCAATAGATGTCACTTCCAGTCATGAACCACTGAGTGAATACTTTTGACCATGTATTTAGTCAGGGATATCATTTGGGAAAGAGGAAACAATTCTTCTTTTTACATAAATGTTGGATCTGATCCTGAGGGGAGGGCTTGGAATAAAATTTAGAAGGACATCAATGTAAAATTTACATTCATTTTTTTATTCTGTCTGGATTGCAGACTCCCCAACCATGTCACAGATTAAGGGAGACAAAGTACCGTCAGTTGACATGGGATACAGGGCAACCCTCCTCTGTAGCTTTAGAGGATTTCCTACGACTGTTACATGGTATAAGGATGATAAAGACCTCCCTGTCAGCTATAGAATGTCCACCAACCAGCATCCTAACTTAGAGTCACATGAGCTTCGTGCTGAACTGGAAATTTTACTTGTGCGTGATGCTGACCTGGGAAAGTACACCTGTCAGGGGTCAAATGAGTTTGGATCCCACAATGGAACAGTGTATTTAAAGAGTGAGCATGCTTTATGTACAAATAACAATAACTTCTTTTATCATCAAAATTTGATTCCTGTCTCATCTTTCCGTGATTTCGAATTCTTAACTAACTAATTATCCATTCTATAAGCTCAATATCAAGACCGTTAACTGCTACAGTAATTTTTCTCCTTATATTTCAGAGGATTACAAAACTCCTACCCCATCTCCCACCATTTTGCCATCTCCAGTGAGGAATGTGTCAGGTAAATTCGATTGATGTACATTGTACCTTAATTTGAAATTGAAACCTGATACTATGTAATAGAAAAATTATATTTGTCATAATAAACAGCATTCCCTATTATTATGTCTAGAGGTCTAGAGGCAGTGTACAAGCCTGGGAGGATATTGGAAGCTTATCATTAAGTTTTATATCTAAGACTTTCAGGTTTTTGTTAATCCAGAAACATTTTGAATCAGCTTAATTGTTTGAGGTTACGAGGACAATAATATATATATACATTGAGATAATAGTAGAGAATATTTACATATATATTTCAATATATAACAATATGTATATATATTTCACAAATATATTTCACCATTTCTTATTTTCTGTTTCTATTGAAATGTATTATATAAATCTGTATTATGATAGGGTCTAGTTAGTGATAACAATGGTATATTTCAGTGTGGAAAGTTGATCGCAACAAATTGAGATTTGATGAACAAATATGAAAATATATGAAAGAGGAGTAATACAGACAGTTTGGACAAAATTCTTTGTTAAATTTTCAAAGTGATTTACTCCTTTATCAAGGTTGACATTATAAACAGTAAACAACACATTCATGAAAACAAATTGACTATATGTTAACTATAAATACATTCTACTGTTAACCTTTCATATGCAAAACAAATTTCTAGTTGTTTAAAGAAATGTTATGGAAACTGAGTATTTGATTTTGCCTGCAATAAGCCTAGGTGGAAAATAAGTTACCTGACTCGTAGTGGAGGACGAGGGATGGAATGGCTTGTTTGAGGACGTTTATACATTTTTTGTAAATCTATACTGGTCAGCAATAGACATGGATTGGACTATAATCAAACAGGGACTTATTTTTCTTGATAATTATAGCAGAAATTACTGAAAATTTACCCTACCTTTATTGAAGTTTTCATTGTCATTACATTGTCATTACAGTCTGCTGTCAGGATAGGAATGTGATTGGGGTATGCATGGATTTGTGTACCTACAGAGTTGACCTTACATTAGTCGTACAGAACCCCGTCAAATATTCACCATGTATAGCATATTTTGAGGACTACGTGACTTGCGCCACAGGTATGTCATAGGTCTTGTGATCTTTCAGGATTTTGTCTATCGTGAGATCTAGCTCAGGCTGTGGCTGATCTGAAAACTGATCTCGAAGGAAAGGAGCTCTGAATGAAGAGCAAAAAAATTGTTTTACATTTGTGAATCAACTACTGCAGTGTGTCATGAATACTAAAGATAATGTTTTGTGTTGCAGATGGTAAAGATCACACCCAGTGTTGCAAGAAAAATGGAGTGTCTGCCTTCTGTCAGGACTTCTGTGGTAGTGTTGTCCCTGACATAGACGACCCTAGAATCTATGAATGTGTTGATCAAGTGGAACCTATCTTAACTTGTGTAGAAGAAGGTGTAGGTAAGAGATTCCTTTCATCTTGTCATTCTGCTCTAATCTCAGCCAGTCTGTCAGTCACTTAGGTACATAGCTGTATAAAGCTTCTATGAAACATGTTATATGTTGCTCATTCATAATAAAATAAAAGAGCTCAAATTTTTCATTTTAAATTCTCTTTCCACAGTTACGATACCATCTCCTCCGTTGAATGTTGTGGCACTGTTGAAGGGTCACATTATTGAAGTGAACTGGGACCCGCCAACTGACAACAACAATGTAGAGCTGTATCAGATCTGGTATAGGTACAATGGTGAAGCAAAGCACGCATCAGTAGTAAGTATTTATCCCTATCAGGTCGTTTGAATTAATGACTACTTCTAGGAATCTGAATCCCAGAGTGGCAAAAAGTTTGTGGAGGTAGTGTAGTGGATGGTGTGAAAGTGTTTAGTGGTTAGCAGCAACCGCGAAGGAAATGTAGCATTCTGTTCGCATGTATGTACGTTCGTACGTTTGTACGTTCATACTTATGTCCACTTTTTGTCGTCCCGCTAGCAACTTCATTTCTCAATGAATTTTTATCAGACTTCACTTATTGGTCAAGAATCATAATACCTAGTTGGTATTTTCTGTTAGCTAGTGTGTGATCTAACTAGACACTGTTAGATGCAAAACAAGGAATGTGTTCTTTAACAAACTTCATTATAAATGAGAGTGAGGGGGTTTGTATCATTTGCAATGCCTTGTTCTCCTTGTTGTAATTACCATTTATAGAAATTTATCAAATTGATTATGTTTTGTTCCTAAGTATTTGGGTTTATACAGCTCTTCTGAAATAAAGGTTTTCTCAGTTCGTTTCAGGATACTCACAGTTGTGGTCCCAATGTATCAGTACAATGTCTTCAATATCAATTAATGCAGTTTTATTAAATATTTGTCCTACACACCGTATCTGAAGACTGTCACTGACATTGTATTTAAACATGCTATTCCAAAATCTTTTTGTACAATCTTTGTTATTCACAGTCAAAAACGACCTACACGTGGTCACTAGATCACCCCGAGATCACTACATACCAATTCTGGGTCATCGCAAAGAACAAGGCCGGTCAGAGTCTGCCAGGATATGCCAGAAATCTCACCATAAGAGGTATTTTACTGTATCAGACAATTAACCCATAGGAAATATTTCCGATTGACAGCTGCTTATTTTAAAATTAATTTGAATGAATTTCAATGAATTTGATTATTCATTTCAAATTTTCATTGATCCTGTTGAATCCATATAAAAATTATCAAAGAGTACACAAAGAAAAAATGCTCTACCTACTTACCTTTTTTTAGCCATGTAACAGAAAACTAACATATGATGTTAAGTAAGGAAAAGACAAGGCAGTCCTTTGTTAATAGAAATCTTAAAAAAAGGATAAGCTTCAAGCTGGATGTAAGTTGCTAACAATCATACTCAGGAATCTTAACTGTGATATTTTTTCTGCTGATTATACCTTTTCTAATGAACTTGGAAAATGTTTACAGGCATTCCGCCCTCAGAGCCAAAAGCTGTGCAAGGAACGATAAAGAACTATAATCAGATTGTGTTGGAATGGACACCTCCAGAGAAAGGGCCAGTGCTAGACTACACAGTCTTCTTCAGTACAAAAGGAGCATCTAACATGGTAATACCCTCAAATCTATTAACAAACATAGCCCAAAGCATTATTTCACATGGTTCAGATCCTGCTTTTTCTAAGCAAACATTGTCTAGACGTTGATTTCTCTGAATATACATGGCCTAGACACTGATTTCTTGATTTCTGTAAACAAATGTGGCCCAGATCCTGATTTCTGTAAACAAACATGGCCCAGATCCTGATTTCTTTAAACAAACATGGCCCAGATCCTGATTTCTTTAAACAAACATGGCCCAGATCCTGATTTCTTTAAACAAACATGGCCCAGATCCTGATTTCTTTAAACAAACATGGCCCAGATCCTGATTTTTTTAAACAAACATGGCCCAGATCCTGACTTTCTTGATATATACAGATATTACATAGTTGTTTTTCATAATTATCAAACATGTCAACAATATTAAAGTTACTCTAATATTTAAGAAAATCACAACGGACACTACATTGACGCTGACAGGACTGAACTATGAAACGCTGTACACTATCATGGTGGCTGCAAATAATGAGTATGGGATTGGCAGTAACTCAACAAAGATTCTAGTTCAAACAAATAAAGGTAATTATAATTTAACCTTGTCCCGTGTTTAGTTACCTTTTGAAAAAATAGATTTTGATTTAATGTATCCTGTGCATGCCATTGAAATGTGAGATTTTCTTTCTTGGTCCAACCAAAGACTTTGCATTTTAACCGTAGCTTATAAGCCGCGGAATTTATTCCTTGGCAGTCGAGCATGCGGCTTATATATGGACAAAAAAATACAGCAGAATGAAAAAAATGAAGAGTATCGTCTGGACGTCATTTCCGGATCGTTATGTATTTCGGAACGGCCATTTTGTTGAGGCGTATCACATGCACTATTGACCTTCCTGACCTTGCATCCGGATAATTTCGGTTGCTGTAAAATGTCACGCTTCCAGAAAGAACAAGAAATAGTGATTTAAACCAATGATACTAGTACACCAGTCACAACAATGGTACAAGGTTTTTAATACAGAAATGCAGGAATGTTGTTGTGCCCATTCTTCTCCTCACTTCCAACCAGCAATGGTCAGATGTGAGATATGGTAGTTTTAGTTAGTTCTAGTGGTCAGTATATGGGTATAGAAGTGGAAATGAGACATCCGTTGGCATCTGTGACCGCACTTAATGTTAAGAAGTTGTATTAAGACTTGTGAAAATTTGTGATAAATTTGAAGGCATGATGTTAATTTTTTTTTTGTCAATGCAGCACCAAAGGTGACCACTTTGGAGCAGAAAGGTGGGACCAATGCTGGTGTAGTGGTTGGTGTGGTCATACTTGTCCTGGTGATCCTGGCAGCAGGGGTACTGGCTTTCCTGTTTATCAGGTGAGAAAAATTGGGATTTTACATTATACAGTTATTGACCAGTTTTCAGGTGAATATGAAGATTTAATAACCCAAAGCTTAAGGGGTTTATAAATTTTTGTATTCATCTGAATACAACTTTAAATATCAGGTTCACAGGTTCATAAATCTTCATATTCAGGTCAGATATTGTTTAATTACAATGCATATGATGACAACTCTTACTTCAAATTTGTTTTGACCAATCAGTGTGTGTAAAAAATTGCAGGAATATGATCAATTTATCGCATTTGTATTTTAATTCTCTGCTGTCAAAATTCTCTTTCAGGTTTGATTTTTAATTTAACCAATTATTCCATATTTCAGAAAAAGAGGAGGATTGAAAAATTTCTCGAGACCAGATTCCGTGGCATTTGAAAATCCTCAATATGGTGTGCCAGGGAGCAGCGGACAGGTGCAGGTAATTGGATAGGATGTTCAAACTTAATTAATATTCTGTTACCCTAAGTACAGAATAGTAAGTGTAGGGTAAGTGGTTGTGACATCGTCAGCTCTGGGCAGGAACAGGAGCAATGAACAAAGAAAGAAAATTCAGTATTTTCAACAAATTTCTGTGAACAAACAAAAACAAATGAAATTTTTATTCTTTTCTCTTATGTACTTCAGTTTCTTAAAAAAAATTAATTGAAAGTGTTGTTTGTTTAAATTATTGAATCATTCAAGCAATGTTTATACACTATGGTAGTGATTTTTCTAATTCTAATCATATTGTCCAAAAAAGGAAGATTTGTAATGAGCAGCATGCAGAGTTCAACGTTTACAGATGCATGGGATAACGAAAAATTATAAAAAATTGTGATGCTCAATTTTCGTGGTTTTGCAAAAATTCACTCTTTTACACTTAATTTGCTGGATAAATATAACCAAGTATACAAAATTATGGTAATTTTAATAGTTTCTGGACATGAATCAATGGAATAAACAATGAAATTTAACCCCCCACGAAAATTAAAGGTTATACATATATTTGCACGAAAACAAAAGATCAAGGTTAATTCTTGAAATTCCACTTAACATTTTATAAAATCAATGGTGTTTGCTATGATGAAATACAATCTTGTATCTTTTAACTTCATTCTGACTCATTTTAAATTGGACTCCATTCGTGTTAATAAAATTCACTGTGTTTGTAGATCTCTGGACTACCTGAACGCAGTCCTGATGTTGGTGATCAGACAAATTTCGACTACTGTCCGCTGAAGGAGGACTCCGATATAGACCCGTATAACAGTGCAGCTACACTGAATGTGGACCAAGTGGGGCTAACTATGAACCACTGAAACAGTCTAGAAATCCTTGGGGAGAAAAATGTATGGACCCAAGAGGGCCAAGTTCTTCTGTATTCAAATTGTATTGGTATATCGAGAAAGACATATTTATACAGGGTGAAAATATTTTCATTCATGTATTTCTATACAGATTCCCAAGAAACAACCATGTAAAAGGGGTTTTCTGTACAAGTTGGCAAATTGTTTTTTACCTTTTTAGAACTCTTTCGAATGACTTTTAGAACTATTTTCAGCATCAAAATATCTATTAGTTGGGACAGTCAAATTTGTGGAAATACAGATAGCACAGTAGGGAATCAGGAACTTAGTAACTGACTGGATATCACAGATTTTATTCAAATTATTGGGTCTGTATGCTGTTCACTTAAAATTTCTGCTTGGATCGGAATTCCATTGTTTTGTTTCACATATTTCTTGTCAATTTTGAAATATACGCAGATATTTCTCACTGTTCGGATAATAAAAAGCTAACCTGTCGTGGTTGAATCATGGTCGAGCTAATGTTTGTAGGTTGATCTGGCTAGATCTATATAGAGTTTCCACAAATTAAATATTACATGTTTGTTCATGTGGTGAATTGAATACAGTTTCTATTAGAGCTTAAGTTGATCTTCTCGTGATTTTTCTTTTTTGAAAACTCACTTGTGTTGAATATCCTTGAAAAGCTAAGAATTGGTGCAAACATCATTTGCTTTTTAGACTTTTATGCCTAAGTTTTTTTTATTGTTATGTAAACTAGCCAGTATTGCCAATATATATTATATAACCTAGTGTATGTGTAGATGTATTTAGACAGTTTAACAAGTGTCTAATATGCCCAAAACTTTTTGATACACAGGAGTTGGCTAGGTTAAAATGAAAGTAAGATTTTGAATTGTTACTTTTGTATTCAAAGTAGCTATGAAGCTTGGGAATTATAAGCAAAACAGAATGTTTAAAAGAAAAGATGTTGAAATGTGTGTGGAAGGCGAAGTGAGGAAACAAATCTGATGCCTCATACATACATATACTTAGTGTTTAACACACACTACAGATTAAGTCCAATATTACTAATGTATCACTATTTTTTCACAAGTGATTAGCATAGAGTACTAACTGTCTCTTTCACATCATTTTCACTAGTTTTGTGATATTTAATGAGTTTGAAGTATTCTACGGAGTCTTACACTCGTTCAGCAGATTTCTCCAGCAAAACACAAAAAAAAAGTTTTTAAAAAATCATTTGAGATTTAGTACTGGACGTCTGTGATGAAAGTATCAGGACAATATCAGAAGTATTAATGATGATAAAAAATCATGAAGTGTTGAGATACATTTAGGTAGTCATATGTCAAAAATGGGTAATGTTAGTAAGATGTTTTAATGTTTATATTATGAGGACTTATAAAGTTCGAATGATCATATTAAATAATAATTGATGAATTTTGAACTCAGTAAAGTCTGTTTTTTAGACAAAATACATACTTAAGCCAGTCTCTCATTCTTCAGCAATGCCTCTGTTACCTCAGACTCTCTGCCTCATCTTCTATGAAAATGAAACTATTAATACAGGTCCAGCCAACATCAAGAGTTGCAATATTTTTCAATAGGGGTGGTCTCTTAAAAGAGGTAATGCATGCAGACTTTATGAAAAAGGCCTCTTCATACAGATTTTAATATGAAAAAAAATGTGTTTTCAGTAGTTTGAACACACGGTCATATATATATGGGATCTTAATGTCTTGATAAGTTTGACTGCTCTGGAAAGTTCTTTTGTTCAGATAGTCTGTAAACAGGTTTTGTAAGGGTTGAAATAATGGCATAGCTACAAGGATTGGGTTGTAAAAACTGGCGTTAAACATGAAAAGTCTTTTTAAATGAGGTCTCTGCATAAGGTTTGTTGGATTTGGAACATTTGTGAAGTGGTATCTTATTGTAAGTGGTCTGTTTATACAGGTGGTCTGTTTATACAGGTGGGCTGTTTGTACAGATTTAATAAAATCAGTGTTGATGAAGATGTCTTACCATAAAGGACCATTTGATAATATAGGTTGTGGTGTGGTACTACTTACACCATCATAAAACAAAAACTATGATACTCATCCCATGACATCTATTTATAATAATTAGATTTTTTTTCCATTGTACAAGCCCAGGGGACCTACTTTAAAGCATCTGGCTTAAAGGAGAGTTGGACTTAATATTGGACAACAATAAGGCATTTACTTGCAATCCCACTGAAACATTTGATGTGATAGGGCTTATTTTCAGATAAAGATAATATTGCTTTTATAAACTTTCAAAATAAATTAAGCCTTTAAAAATAAATAAAATTATAGCAATAAGTGAGGATTATTATGTTAGATTGTTATCGGAGTTTGTTTCTGATGTTCAAACTTTTTGTTTTATTTTTCGCTGTTATTTGCAGATGAGCAATAAATTACTGGTAAATTTTCTGACTGGTATGATATTTTCAATAGATAAGTGTCTTAGGCCAGTTTTGTACACTCTAGTACTTTAAAGTTTCTCCTTTCATGTTATTTTGTATGTTCTTGACTATACTCAGGAAGTCTTCGAATATCTGTGTGTATATTTCACATATTGTTATATTGTATATATTAAGTATTATTTTTTTATTTTCACACATAAATATTGCATTTCGTATCGTGGTATATTATTATTATTATTTTTTTGGTGAAAGAAAGTTTTCTATTTTTTTTTTTTTTTTTTGATGTAAGTTTTCATCCACAATTTGTATTCATTATGTATATATATTTATTGGACAAATTATGATATGTGTGTATATTAATGTATTTCCTGTGAAACAGGAAAACCTTACATCCTCTTTATATTCATGCAAAGGAAAGAAAAGAACTCATATATGTTTGTCAAAACTGAAGGAAATTTCATCCTTGTTGATCAAAATAGTTTTGTTTTGGAGATCAAAATTTTGGAATGAAAACCTGATTGGCAAACTCAACTCTGAACAAGAATACTTTTAAAAATCTGAAAGGTTTTTAATTTGTATGGCACTTGCTGTGGGTTTTACAGTATTTGCCATTGTAGACTTGTCTGTATTTAAATCTTGTTTCAGTCTTGTACACAGATCCTGTTTGATCTGATGTTCCATCCAAATGATTTTATTTACAACGACTTAAGTCTGGTGATAGAGATTAAGCTAGATATATTGTGACACATATACATATTAAAATATGATTGATAAGTACTTTATTACAGTATATTACAAATAATTTTGTAATTTTCCACGAGGAATGGAATCTCTTTACATAAGTACATTGCAATATGTAGCTTTTGTTATTTACGTTAATTTGAGTTCATTGGTTAGAATTTACTATTATGAATAAATAGTTGTCAGTTTTTTTTCTTTATTACTATGTTTTCAGTGTATTATAATTATTGTTGTATCAAAAGGAGATTATGGGCAGAGAGTCCTCAAATGTTAAATGATTTGTTCATGAACAAACATATATATTATAAAGGTTTTGTAAATTTGGTTTAAAAAAGAAAAAAAAATTGATTTTTTTTTTATACTTTTTAAAATGTAATTCAAGACATTTCCAGCTTACAATGTAAATGTTGATCTATTACCTTGATGAAAACTTTGGAAAACAGTTTTCCATGGAAACAATATATGATATATTTGATTAATATCAGTTGTGTGCATTATTTCTTATCTAATAAATATTGTGTTTGTCTTTATTCTTATTTGATAATCTTGACAGCTTGTTCGAATTAAGCATAAATCATGATTTCCTTCTTGGATATATTTTTCCAAAGGTCACATGTTTACATCAAATCATAACACAAGACTAAACTTAGGCTGCCATTTAAACGTAGCCTTCCAATTATTTTGTCAATGTCAAAATTAATTGATATAAACTTCAGCATTTAGCTTTTTTTTTTAGTGTTTGACTAAATTAAGTGGTTTTGTAGTAAAAACGGGAAGGAGGTAAGGTTGGGTGTTACCAGTGTGATGAGTGGTTAGGTGATGGAATAGAAACAGTTTGATTAACAGTTACTTAAGTTTGGGCTGGTGTTGACATCTTCATTTGTGTGCTTTAAATAGGCTAAACGTACCCGTACATAGATTAATGTTTTGACTCAAAACACAAATTATTTCAGAGAAACCGTTTTATTACGTTATAAAATTATTTTTTTTTGTAAATAAATTTGACAAGTGCTATTATACGATTCTTCAGTGAAGACACAAGAAACTGAACATTGATGCCAATAGTTTGACAAGTTGATACCATATTGATGTAAGGATTGTTTTTTACAGTCAAAAGGTGAAAGAAATTTACCAGTTGATGCTTCAGTGTTCGTAAGATTTTAATATAAAATCTCACTTGGAATTACCAGTAAATTAGATTCTGTGTGGACTGTTATTTTTTATACAAGATTATTTTTGATACACAATAGATTTATCATGATGATCATGTACACATATCATCAGCTGTCAGTGTTAGTTTCAGTTTGCTCACTTACATGTAGATGTGTATTCGTAGTCGTATACTAAAATTATCATTATATTTAATCATGTAGGTATGTGTTTTGAAATTCATATGCACCAAAAGCTGTAAAAATTATCAGAAATTTCCTCCATGTTTTTTTTTTGTTTTTGCCTGTTTGAGTAGTTGGATACTGTACAGCACAAAACATTTGGTTGAAGACTTATTGAAACACAATCCATATAGTGTAGTTGGAACATAATTCTGTCAACTGATAATCTATTGATATTAATCATTAAATTTCACGATCTTTTCTTCAATTTTGAAGTTGTAAAAGTTTTAAACTCAATTAAAATTATGACATTGATGTTTAAGGAAAATTTTAATGTACAGGTTTTATATGTTTTGTTCACGAACTTTTAAGTGTTTTTTTTTTTCTGCAGGCAGATTGATATACAGGGACCAGAGATAAGAAAATGTTGCTATGTGAAAAAAAAACAGTATTTATTTTCTTAAATGGTAATTTCTTTTTTTAAATAGAAATGAAAATTTAATAACAAATTTTGGAAGTTAGGCCTAAGTTTCAATTTGAACTCTTTTTGAGGACCTGAAAAATACCAACAGGGAGTCGAGTGTCTTTTGATATATGTATATATATTCATATTTCACAGGTCAAGCTTTATGGATCTGTATGCAAAATGATAAATATATTAAGATTTTTTTTTGAAAGTTAGAGTAATATGATAAATATATTAAGATTTTTTTTTGAAAGAGTAACCATAAGTGCTAATTTTCTGTGATCTGATTTGTACAACCCTCCAGTCACATGATTTTCTTGTTAGATGTACATTCCTACTGTTAATGTTATGCTTGAAAATTTAATTATTGTACACAATATCTACACAATGCTTTCCGTCTTCAAATATATAATGATGAATCTCAATGCTCATAAGTATTTAATTGATAAAAATATTCGCATTTTTTGCCAAAATCTGAATTATTTTAAAACAAAATTGCAAATTAATGTTAAGAATAAAATCAATGTAGATTACATTGTAGAATTTATCAGAAATGATTCACATTATTATTGTGAATTAGAAATAATAGAAACAAGCAAATTTAATATCTTATAATACAGACTTTTCCTGTATGTTTACAATGAAAATATTGTGTTTTCATTTATTTTTTGAAAAAAAAAAGAAATAAATATTATGCAAGCAGAGATAATTTTGGATTTCAGCATATATCACTGTAAATGTAGCATTGGCGACTAATGTCTTTTTCAGCAGCGACGTTGAATTTACTCGTTGAAGTAATCATATTATTTACGAAGTTTGATGCAAATCTACTACCAAATGTGTATGTCATTGTCTGAAACATAATCGAATCTCAATAAACGGAATAGCAAACGAAAAATTTCATGTGATTATTTTCCTTTTTCAATACAAGAACAGTTATACCCCTTGCAATGATGTTGCCAATTTCAGCAAAACTTGCCATAACTACCCATTGTGGTTGCTCATCTACAAACAATTATTTCATTAGGACCCATTCTTATAGAGTTATGCCCCTTTGTTCAAAAAAATTTATAAACAAGAGTTCCTTGGAACTGTATGTGTCGCCTGCATAAAGTGTCACGATCACCCAGAAATTGAACTGGATGTGCAAGGGTCAACCATAAATTTGTAATACCAAATTTCATTTCTATAACTCAAAGCATAAAGGGAAAACTGCAAGGTAATATTCCTGAGAAATTTTCCAAGTTCAAAGGGAAATATCACTGCCAAGAAGGGTACAGACTGCCAAGAAGCGAACTCGGTGCGTAACTTTTGACCAAGAACTTGTATACAAAATTGCATTTTGATAACTCGAAGCATAACCAAGAAAATTTTCCCAAAGAATTTTCTAAGTTCTAAGGGGCATTACTCTGCCAAGAAGGGTCACAGACAGCCAGAAATCGAGCTTAACCTGTACCCTTCCAACAAGAAGCCATATACTAAATTTCATTTTGATAACTCCAATCATAACCAAAAAAAGTCCAGAAAACTTTCGTACAGACGCTGCCGCCGTGTGACGATGGACAAAGTGATCCCTAAGTGTCCGCCAGCTCTGCAGGCGACACAATAAACTAGTCATAAAAAAGCCTGATAACTCTCCATACATTTGGACTAATTTCATTGAAATTTTACAATTGCATCAGTTTAAAATGACCACAAGAAAGATATTTTGATGTTGACAGGACATTGAAATTGGAAAGATTCTGAAATGATACAGAACCAGAAAACTTGTGTGCAAAATTTCTGTTTTATACCCCTTTATGTTGTGCTTTTGGATTTTATGTTTTATTAATATGTTGCCTCGGTTACAGAAGATGTCCTTTGATTTTAGCTGTTAAATCTGAAGATTTTACTAACTTCTTAACTTGTCTCGGATACCAATGCATCTAAAAAATTTTAAAAGTTGAAATAGAATTATTGTGAAATTGCTGCATCTACAAATTCACATGTGCGGGTTAGAATGATTGTGCATCTCTTCCATTTATGATACCGTCTGTTCTCGACCACTAACTGCTAAGTTTGAGCTTCTGTGAGGGCTATTAGTTATCCTTAGAGACAACAAACCCAACGATAAGAAGATATGAAGTTTTGATGATTATGGAATGGTATGTACAAAATATGTATTTATTCATCAATACCTCCATCACTTTTAATAAACCCATGTTCATCAATAACTCCATGCCTTGTAATAAGCCCATAATGACTTTTCGGTAGAGTTTCAAACATTTTTTTCATTACCATGCGATAAGCTCACCCCTGACTTTGAGTCCAACCTAGGACCCCCTTGGATTACTGCAAGATAAATACTTGTGAAAAAAATTCCAAGTCACTCAGAAAAAAATTATATCTGCAATTAAATACCAATTACTGCATCCCTTTAATGAATAATGTTTTGACAGTCTCAAGATAACCCATCATTCATTTCCATTGTTTATTTATTTGATTGTGATGATGTAAAAGTTTCAAATATACTTTATTAAAAATGTGTGATGTCTATGAAAATGACAAACAGCCAGAGATTATGAAGAATATCTACGGAAAACAGATATTGAAAAATCACCATCCAATTCACTCACTCACTTGTCCATTCACTTGCTGGCTAACCAATTCACTCACCAATCCATCTTGCACGACTCAATCACATGCACGTATGCACGCAAGCACCATGAGGATGTACACGTTTTACGACAGAACGATCAATTTCTATAAAAACAAATTCAGCTGCAGATTAGGAAAGAAATCTCAGGAAAATCAGTCTGGATTGAACTGTGTGTGTATATTTCAAAACAAACCTTTCATATTTCTACAACTCTGCCTCACGAGATGAAACTCAGAACTGTACACAAAAACCTATCTTCATATTCAGCTGTCAGATTTCAGTGTCTTAATTTCAGTTGAACACAGACCAAACACAATTTTTAATGTCTCCCTTTCATTTTATTTTTCTCCTTCACTTTTTTCATGTGGAATTTCTTTTGCGACTTTTTCTCTTTGATGTGACCGAGCTGTGATGGTCGCTTGGATTTCTTCTTTGGCATTTCTTTGTTTAACAAGGCAACTTCTCTGTGAAAATAAAATAAAAACATTTATCATTTCCGGTAGTCCCGATTGTTCTGACATTCTATCAATTTTTTTTATTGGTCTGGAGAACTCGGGACCTTTATAAAGTGAGAGAAATAGCGACCCATGCCTGGGTTGCCATTCAAATGATAATTGTAGAAAGAAATTATCATCTTCACATGCATATCATACATGGATCGAAAGGTCTGTTCTTTATCTACAGTATTTTCACGGGACAACACACTATACCATTGGCATTATGCATATGAAAATGATGATTTCTTTCCACAATTATTCTTTGAATGCTGACCCAGGTATGGCTAAATTATTTGCCTCAGTTTATATGGGGCCAGAGTTCAGACGGTCATCGACTCTAGACCGAATGACAACAATTACAGTACATGATAAAGAGTAAACGGCTCAGACTACAGTTAAGAAGGATCATTTACAAACAATAAAATAAGGATGGACCTACTTATCTTACCTTGTTTTCTGTCTTTCTAGGCTATTATTATTATGAGCAGTGTATTCACCATTTATGCCTAAAATGTTATGTCTAAAATGATAAAGAACCATTTTGTCCTCTTACATCATATATAAAATACCAGGTATAACATTTGATAATGAAGAAATATTTAACATGTATGCACCAAATACCAAAAGGATTGTAAGACTTGTAAATACATATGTATCTGCAATTGCATCAAGTTTAAACCTACAGATGAAACAGGACTCACTTTCGTTTCAGCTTTTTTATATCTCGTTTTAGCTTGGCATGTTCCTTTGGATCAAATTCCGTTGGTGGGGATGTTGTAGCATCCTGTTCTTCTTCAAACTGCAAAAGTGATAAATGGCCATCAATTCACTACAGATGCAGGGAGGACATGAGGTATCTTTGCTTAAATGTGGAAACTTTTACAAGATCATTCAGCCAAAAGATTTACAAAGCTATGGGTCACTTGCAGATGAAAATATTTCACAAATTGAGATTAAAATCAAGGATAACAGAAGCTAAGACCACATTATCTCCCTTTGTTTTTTGTATCTAGGATATCTGTTTTTCTACATAGTAGCATATTGATTATAGACAGTGTTAAATGCATCATCTATGAAATATCTTCTCCTTCATCTGATGAAAACATGATAAAACATAATAACAGGTTTCTTATGACTGTTACCAATATTTGTCAGGTGGAGTCATGAATTAGTTTAGACAATTAAGTATTATACACTACTCTCTGTTCCTCTTGTATGTACAAGGGTAGGTATTGATGTACCTGGTTTTGTCCCAGACGTAGACCAGAGTGACCCACCATATCTATCTCTGATATATCTGTAATGGTAACGGTGTGTTCGGGCAGCTCAGTCACAGTTGGTTTTCCAATCTCATCCAGTTCAGGTGCCTTTTGTTTGGATTTGCCTTTGAAGTAGAAGCTCTTTTCAATCAGCTCTCTCCTCTGTAAAAATGATAAATAAATAAGTATAATACATGACTACAATGTAACTACAAAAATAAAACTTTAGGTTTAACTTCTTCAGCACACAAAATTGAATGTACACAAATTTACCTATTCAAAGACACATCCATGGGACTGTTGAAAGGGACAAGGGGCAAAGAAATGTTGCAGTGGTTAAAAGAGCAGAGGAGGACTATGTAAAACTTTAACAACACATTAAAACTTTAGCATTACTCAAATAGAGATCCATCTGACATCCCTTTCTTTCTAATATGTGAGACAGAAACAGTTACTGTTGGTTACACATGCTTAATTATTAGATTTAGATAAAAAAAAAACAATTGTGAAAACAATCTTTCCAACTTAAACTAATCAAGCTTGTTGGTCTGAATATAAGCATGTGATGGGTCTTATGGTGGGGGAAACTTGAGCACTCCCAGAAAAACCCCTGTGGTTGGGCAAGTGACCCGTTACATCTGTTGGGGAATTGAACCACAGATGTCTTTGTAAAAGGCAAATGTGTTACCACTGCTCAATCCACCCACCCAATACAGGTATACCATTGCTTTTTCTCCTTCCAAACATAGGACTGACCTCAAATCAAATGCTACCATTAAATGATCTCCTTTGACAAAGAATTCATTTCGGTTGTTTGAATTTAACTTTTCAACTTTCCACTGTTTTTACAAAATAAACCCATTTCCAACTTTACCTGTCTTTTTAACTCCTTTTTATCTTCCTTCAGTTGTATTTCCTTGTCATCTTTAGCCTTCTTGCGTCTTTCATTTTTCCTTTTTCTAAATCCTGTCAAAAATTCCCTTAAAATAAATAAGAAACAATTTTAGTAATTTAAAAGAATTGTCAAAATGAATGAAATCAAAACTGTGACATCTCTAATTATGATAACATTTAGATATTCCATATTCAGAAATTCATCCCTTTTGTGGAAACTATCAGATAGTTTGTTCCTTTTCTGAAAGTTGTATGTGACAATTTGATTCTTTCAGACAATTCTTGTCCCTAGCTAACTGTTTCCAACACAGTTCAAGCTGTATATAGATAGGAGCCAGACTCAGTCAGACGTCGCCAGAACACCGACGTTTGTTGGTGAGATGATATCTGGACACAGGTATCTCAGTAGGGAGCTGAGATCACTGAATGACCTAATGATGCTCTCCTGGTTATAAGACAACTTATAATTACCAACTGCCCGAGATAGCATCTGACAAGCTTCCAATATTTTCATCAATGTAATTAACATCTACTACTTTATCACTTGACTTCAAAACCCACAAAGGTGAATATGGAACACAGGTACAATTGGACTGGTGCTGAAAATTGTGGGGGGTTTTTTATGAAATTTTAATTAACTCTAGATCTGTACTGCGTTTGATTTTTTTCACTCTATTTTCCAAAAGATGAATATATTTTTTTACTCCGATTCAATCTAAACTTCGTCGTTGTTAATCCTTCACCCTGGGTCGAATCTGTTAGAAATGACGGTTGACAATATGATACCCATAACCAAAAAAGTACAAATTACCTCCCTTTAATTACCGATTTTACAAAATGTAAATACAAACCTATAAGCACTGTAGAGATCTGTTTCAAGACAAAGTTTACTAATAAGATGTTGAATAAATAAAAAAAAATATTTGTTTTTTTTTCATATGATTACGAAACACTTCACAAAATATGTTATCAATATTAAAATGACTGTTTTCAAGTTCGTTCTTGGACAACCAACGAATTAATTCAACGAGGAATTGTATCGAAATATAGTCAATAAAAGGTTCTTACAATCTTGCTGTCTCATCAAACACCAATACTTTTTTCGTTTTTCTGTTTTTCGGAGCTTTCTTCTTATCGTTTCCCATAATTTTCCGCCAGTGTTGACAATTTTCACGTGTTCAAGCCTCTGTGTGATATGGAAATATCATCGTCTCACAAACGTTTTCCTTCCTGTTCACTAAATACAGCTATACCAACATAATATGAACAACAAGCGGTTGTTTACAAAATATTAATTTTACGAATGCCACCAAACAAATACATTAATTAATTAAAATGTGTTCATATTACAAGATGTATTTTGAAAACTGGCCAGTGAAACACCAGTATTTTTCTAAAAAAAAAAAAATAGCAACAGATCCGACCTCAAATTCGGTCACCTGCTATGATCGACATGTGTATCGGACATGTGACTGTTACGTTTCAAATGACATCGCTAAATCTCAGAGACGCTTACGATAGTTTTCAGTGGCCAAGAAGTACACATGTATTACATAGAATCATCTTTTGAACGGAAATGACATTCTGATGACATAGAAAATCAAAATATAATGATGTTGCGAAAATGGTGTACATATGTGTTGTTTTGTGGACTTTTTCTGAAGGGTTTGAAGTTTTTATTTTTTGATTGTTTTTTCTCAAATAAACCATTTTTCTTAAATTAAGGTAATTTCCCATCGTTCGGTCTACGATTAGCCAGTTAATTAAAATAAAAAACGAGTCATCAAAAGTGACAATTAAAAACAACAACTTATTCAATACAATAAATGCTTGAACTTTCGTAGAAAAAAAAAATGCAAGAAGGCGTGGCCTATGATTCATGGTCGATTTTTATTAATTTGGCAGAGGACAACAAAACATTGGCATCCGGGGATGGATTGATTGGTCATTTCATCATATCTGGGAGTATGTTTGAAACGTAAACATGTGTATTACGTAAAAATACACAAATTTGTCGATGGAATATTAACACAGAATATTTTAAGGTGAATGGTTTTAATCGGCATTTCATATTCTTTCTGGAAGCGTGACATGTTACAGCAACCAAAATTATCCTGTTGCGAGGTCACGCAGGTCAATAGTGCATGTGATACGTCATGATACGTATTGACAAAATGGCCGTTCCCAAATACATAATGGTCCGGAACCGATAGCAAGACGATACTCTTACTAGTCTTAAATGCATCATCTTCGCAATTCAAAAATAGAAATATATATATACTGAAAGATCTATTAATAATGAACCACGTACAGGTAAGTATACAATACAATGTGGAAGTTAAAAGCTGAAAATGATATATTCGAAAAAAGTCACCTCCCAATTAACTCACTCAGTCACTCGCGAATTCACCAGTCATCTCACTCTATTTAATCGCATGCACTCGCTCACTCACGCGCGCACTCACCTCACTGACTCACTTACTCACCCACCAAATCAAGCAATCATATAACAGTTTTAAACTTCCGTAATTTATTAGACTAATAGATATTTTCGGAAAAGTGGCAAATAGGACAACCTAATATCAGGTTTTACAATGTTATGTCAGAGATTGGAAGTTCGGTCTGGTGACATACTAAACACGGGACGCCGTATTCTGTTGTGCATTTATCAAATGCCATTTGACCCTCTTATTTACCAAACCCTCTTGTTCCCCCGACTACACAGGTATCCATGTCACTGATATAGCTAGATAGTAGATCCGGATGTTCCCTGTACCAAGCCGATAGAAGCCACAGCAGATAGGTAAGCTATGTCTTTTCATGTCTCCATTGTCTTTCCTATATACATACATATTCACATAATCTACCGACTCCTATTATTCCAGTGTACGCACTGTCACGTTTCGTTAATTCAGAATACTTTAGTGACCTTGGACCACGGTTCACAGGTGCTAGTCACAATATATTTTTCTCTGGATTTAGCATCTTTACCAGCCAACCAGTGAGAAAACAAATTATAAATTACCACAGTCAGAGCATGTTCTATACTGGGTGTCTGAAGTTTTTTTCTCTCCTTCTCTAGTTTCCTTTGTTGATGTTATAAAAAGGAAAAAATGGAAAACAAGATATGCAAAATTATGTTTGCTTTCTGCAAAAAGCACAGGATCTAGTGCAAAATTATAACAAAATCTTATCCGGATCGTCGATGAGTGTAAAAGTGTTCCACAGGGTCGTATTGTTGGTAGGATCATACAACATCAAAAAGAAGAGGGAAGCCACATTGCTTGTTTGATATCCATACCTGAAACAGTGTCTGTGAAGTATGTGACCACTAGTGGAATGACGCTATGATACAATACACTGGTTGTCCAACCGATATCACAAAAAACAACGTAGCTAGACACCCACATGCTCATATTATACTGAAAACAGACTATGCATGAGATGACGCTGCAAGCGAGCTGTAGTTTTAGACGATCATGTCGCTCTCAGGATCTTGAAAATTAAGTTCCATTTCACACACACACACACACACACACACACGCACACGCACACGCACACGCACACGCGCACGCGCACGCACACGCACACGCACGCACGCACGCACGCACGCACGCACACACACAATCCCCCCTCCCACACCTCCCCCCCCCCACATACACACACCGACTCCCCAACACATACACCGATTCCCCCCAACACAAACACCGACACACGTAAACAAGACTGAAAAATCGTCTATTCATTAATTTAATGTGTTAAGGAGACTATGGCGAGGGTTATGGGAACAAAAGGACTGTCTTTTGTAAGATTCCGTTTACGTGAAAACTGGAATACTTTCGCAAGCACTCATGAAAACAATACGTTCAGAGCCTGATTAATAAGACAATAATAATGAAATGTGTGTATGAATCATTACGCTCCCGGTTGCAACAAAATCATTCTGAAGTGGGACATTAAAACTGTAACGTATAAGACACGCGCTATTTGCATGCACACTTTGTGAAACCGTGCTTATGTCTTCATTGTGCAAAAGTTGAGGCCAATGTTTAAGTTTTTCAAATGAAGGTGAAGGTTGCTGCGCAATAGTTTTGGTCAATGTAGGTCAAAGGTCACGGTCAAGGTCACATGGTCAAACATTTTGGTACCACCGGAAAGGTCGTGTCACAAGGAACACGCATGCCAAATATGACAACAGGGTTAAAGTTGGCAACAGACGAACAGACAGCACAAAAACAATATGTGTTTACAGTGTATGAAATACAACGTTCCCGGTTGTAGCATAGTTCTGAAGTGGGACATTAAAACTGTGCCGTGTAAGGCATGTGCTAATTGCAAGCATACTTTGTGAAACACTTGTGTCTTAATTGTGGTAATGATGTTTTACGCTTTCAGATAAAGGTCACGGTCAAGGTCACGTGGTAAAAAAAAAATCGGTACCACTGGAAAGGTCTTGTCACAAGAAATACACATGCCAAATACGAAAGCCCTACCTCTTACAGTGCAATAGTTATGGGCAAGGTTAATGTTGACAACCGATAAACAGACAGTACAAAAAGAAAATGCCCCCTATCTTTCGATCCGAAGGTGTAAAGAAAATGGTGATGTTCTGATACCATATCTCTCCCTTCGGTGACGTTAGTATCGAAACAATGGCTAGCTTATTTAATCAAAGCTCGACTAGGTATTAAAATGTAAGGGGTTTTATCACGCTAGTGTTGCACTGATAACAGGGTAATGGTATAATTCACGTGTTAATGATACACACTGCTGTTCTCGGAAACTTCCATGAGTCTAATATGAAATGAAAATTGACGGTTTTCCTAATCCATACCAATCTCTGGTAATGTTACGATTGAAACAATGGGTAGGTATTGAAATGTAGTGGATTTTATTACAACGGTTATACACTGATAAAAGAGTAGTAATGTGTTTAACTGACACTCGTGGTCCTTAGAAATGTTTATTTCCACTGGATTTACAATGTTTTCATGCTTTTCCACTCTTCAATATCTAGAATTAAGGTCGGGCTGAAAATTGGCAAGAAATTAACTGATACGTAGGCGCAAGCGTGGGTTAAAGAAGTAACAAAATAGGTCTGATTGATAGGAGGTCGAACTCAATTCTTTAGAAATTTTAATGCTGTTAAGTGTAAGTCGACATATCTCTATAACAATACTTTTGTTACAGAAAAAACCCACTTTTCTCGTTAGATGAATAGACCTGCATCTGAACAGTTATTGTCATGTGCCCTGCAGGTAGGGCGTAAGAATTGTACCTGCTGTTCCCACTGCATGATCGTATGAGGCGACTAAATCTGGGACCTTTTCTCTTTTCTTGAATTCTTCTTAAACAATATCCTCCCCTCTACACACACCTACCCAGTCCTCAGTGTCCCAACAGTTTCTTTGTGTCGTTGTCTCTGTCTTCATGAGGAAACCAGTTAACAGTTATGTGGCCTCTCACGAGGCAATGGCATATCTACGTCATTGCAATCTTTACTTCACACTCCATGTTGAGCTCAAAATGTTCGACACATTCAGATGTCAGAAGTTAATGACATTTCAGTATGATTGCGCTACATAAACTGAATTACCGCAAACAACCAAAGATACCCTAGTTAGCCTTTGCGTGGACATACAACGCAAAATGAACACGATGGCACATAATACAATACATAGTTGAACGATGTATATCAGTTGTTTTGTATGAAATGCAACATAAAACTGCTTCTGGATAGATCGGAATTTACTTACTTTAAGACTCATAATCTTTTTTATCACATACACTTTGTAGACTGGCGTTACGTAAATACTACTGATAGTTTATCGATAAATCTATATATGAATACCGGTACATCTTGGTATGTCTTTGTCATCGTATTTCCTTGTCGAATGCATATACAAATCATTTCATCGCACCCTGCCACTATTTCTAATGCTATGTAAACATTCTTGTCACATTATACTTGTTGTTAAGTCGTATGAAAGAACCTTTTGACAGCAAGGTGTAAACGATCTTTTCAAAGTACCAAGGTAAACCATTAACCTAGGAAAAGGCTGAAATAGATTAAATTGATTTATTTCTATTAATTTGGAAGTGGAGTAAACTCTATCATAAATATACTGGAGAGAGATATACTGGAGAGAGAGAGAGAGAGAGAGAGAGAGAGAGAGAGAGAGAGAGAGAGAGAGAGAGAGAGAGAGAGAGAGAGAGAGAGAGAGAGAGAGAGAGAGAGGGGAAAGAGAGAGAGAGAGATATAGAGAGAAAGAGAGAGAGAGAGAGAGAGAGAGAGAGAGAGAGAGAGAGAGAGAGAGAGAGAGAGAGAGAGAGAGAGAGAGAGAGAGAGAGAGAGAGAGAGAGAGAGAGAGAGGGAGAGAGAGAGAGAGAGAGAGAGAGGAGAGAGGCTTTTGAGAGAGAGACAGAGAGAGAGAAGAATCTCAGAGAGAGAGAGAGAGAGAGAGAGAGAGAGGGAGAGGAGACAGAGAGAGAGAGAGAGAGACAGAGAGAGAGAGAGAGAGAGAGACGTGGCAGAGTATGTGTATTTGTCTTTAGTAAGCATACCATTTCAATGCTCTTTTGAGTAAATAATTAGTATGGAATGTAAATTATCAGTATGGAATTAGAAATCCTGGATCTGTATGTTGTCATACTCATCCATGCTTAACTCCTAGAACAGGACCAATACAGTTGCAACGGAGAAAATAAAAAAAAAATCATTAATCCCGTGCAAACACGTAACTGAATAACGGTACACCTATAAGATTAACAGGAATATTACACAGTCGTTTGTAGTTGTAGAACCTCGAATAATACCTATGCCCCGGTATATGGATAGTTTCGTCTATATAGATTAAAGGAATGAAAAACCAGTAGTTATTACCTTGTAGTCTGTGTTTCTGAATACTGTTGATCCGTTGGACAAACTGTATTTAGCTTTGAATTGTATGTAGAAATAACATGATGTATATATATTTACCAGCTTTGGTAACATAATTAGACATTTTACAAGAATCGAGTGTTTTATACCACATTTTGGGGCATTAGCTGTGGAATATCCCCACCGTACATACACGCGCAACAAAAGTGTTGCATTCTGTTCTCACTCTCGAAATAATGAAATGTAAGGTAACTGAAACTTAACTATATGTTGAATTGGGCAACTCTTCTACAAACTGATTTTGAAGGTATTGCTGAAGGATCAAAATGTCGATACATATGTCAAAAGTTGGACATGTTAGGACGTTTTAATCAGCGAATTATACGTTTATTCAACATTATACCAAACAGGATTGAAATTCGATAACAAACTGTCAGTTTGCAGAATATGTACGATTTTTAGAAATGTCGATTTATTTAAAAAAAAACTCTTCAAATTAAGAAAGTAAAAAACATTTCATCCTTTAAATAATGTTCTGTTGATGATAAATTAGCTGACATAAAATTCTGAAACTGTGATGATGGTAAAAAAATATCTGTTTTTGATATAGAAATGCTGTTGGCAAATGTAATTTGCTGCAGAACCATTTGTTCATCATGACATTCTATGAAAGTTGGCTAGCATCAACAGAAAAAGTGCGATGTTTGAAATCTGAAAATTCTTCTGTTCTAGTTTTGAACATCACAGCAAAATTATGAGTCAAGCCACTCTCAAGATTGGGTTTGTTGGAGCCGGAGCGATTCATTTCGGGAGACCGGAAGTACCCTGGGATCATGCGTCGCGCCTGGAGAAGATTGGTGGACTGGAGGTAATTGGAATTGTTGACCCCGACACCTGTCGGAGTGAAGAGGTACTAAACGAACGTCTGGCCTCTCCTGACCACGGACACATATACGCAAATTGCCGACTCCTAACCGACTACAGGGAGTTATTGGGAATGAAACCGGATGTTGTTTTTATAGGAATTCCACCAGCTTACAGAGGATCTCCAAAAGAGGGCAAAAATCTTGAATTAGAATTTGCCCGCGCTGGAATACATGTTTTTGTAGAAAAACCTCTTTCGCTAGTGCCACCGGAAGAGTTTACTCCTTACGCAGGCGCAGTGGCGGATGCATGTCGGACCAACAATATTGTCCTCTCTGTTGGGTACATGTTCAGGTAGGATTAATTCATAATTGAAGTCATCATACCGTACAATGTGTACCTGTATAAATAAGAAATAGTCTTAACAAAGTTAACAATTCCACTTCATGAGGAAACGAGTCAACATGTCATATGGACAAGGCAATATCGCCGATTAAAGCGAGTCTGTTATGTTCTAAAACAGAGGAAATACAGAATCAAGTTGAAAATTGATATCACAACCTTGCTTTCCAAAAATGTAATTTTCTAGTTTTGTTGCAGGTACCATGCGGCCGTCCTCAAAATGAAGGAACTAATTGCTCAACATGGGGGAAAGGTGATGGCATTTAATGCCCGCTATTACTTTGCCTACACTGAAGGAGTCAACAAATATTGGTTCAACACCGAATTCAGCGGTGGACCAATCGTAGAGCAGGCTACCCACTTCTGTGACCTCGCTCGGTACATAGTCGGGGACATAGATATGACGTCACTGCACACTATCATGCTGAATGATACGGATAAGGGAGATGCTGGTAAGCTAATGTACGTGGCAGACAAAGCAGAAGACGACATTCCCGCCAACAAGAGGATCCCTAGAGTCACACTCAGTCACTGGAGATTCCAGGACAGTGGTCTTGGCACTTTGATGCACTCTGTCACGTTACCGGGAAGTCGTTACCAAGCAACCATTGACGTTCAGTTGGACGGTCTCCAGCTCTCGCTCATTGATCCTTATGAGAGTACCAGTGTACTCCGAGTCCGAAACTTAAAGGGTGGAAATCCAAACCAAGACCAAGATTTCGTTTTCGAAAACGACGACACGTATTTAAGAGAGTTGGAAACATTTATCAAAGCTGTTCGTCAGAGGAATCAATCCCTAATCAAGAGTTCGTATGAAGACGCCATGAAAACATACGAATTGACCTGGGCGATACGGCGACAAGGCGAAGTCAAGATATAGCGCCTTCGATCTACAGCTTTTTTTAAATATCAGCTAATACACGTTGAATCCTTTAGAATCAAAACTTGTGTATATCTTACATGTTCGGAGAAACAAGATCATATCTTAAAATCTTAATACATATATGGATTACACCCTTTCATGGTCATAATTCTTTTAATAACGAGAAAGAAATACCTGATTTCAGATCTTAAACATAAACATTTGTATTTGTTATTGCATATAGAAATTATAGTCAAACTTCTTTAACTAGAAGTCGACGGGAACATGAAAAAATTCGAGTTACACGGATATTAGTTAAACGGGTAATCATTTACCGTGTGAAGTTCTGCATATTGAATTTGATTATTGATATGTTGCAGTTGCGATATTGACCAATATCAGTAAGATATATCATAACGAATCCAGGTCGTAAAACAACAGAATATTCTAAAATCTTTCTTGTCCGCTGAGGGACGAGTTGTCAATTTTTTGTCAACACTAAAGCGCCTAGCTCTTCCCTTTTGTCCTTGATCTGCGATAAGAACTCCAGACGGTTTATCTGTGGACAAAAGTAAACACAATTGTGGCTCTAGTTTGGTCAAGTCAACAGGTGAGCATTGTATAAGTTTACATTGAGAACAGTTTTTTTTGTAGTTTGTAGAAATCGTATAAATTTTCAGAGTATATTTCATCATATTCGTGTTAGGCATTTGTGATAGTTTCCCCAGTTAAACAGTCATTACATTCTTACAGTGTTCTAATTTGTTTGAGCCATATACGTGAATAACTGTTTAAGTTAAAAGGTCGTTAGATTTTGATTTTGTTATAATTTCATTTTGCAATATGCGATTTGTTTAACCATGGGATCTTAAAACGCTGTTTGTATTTCAATTTATAGTAAGTCAAACCTTTAATGACATTTTTAAAATTAAAAAACAATTAAATCCTGGTCTGTTTAATTGTTGATACATATATGATGTGTTTAAGTGGTCAGAAATTCTTGACTTTAATTGATAGCGAAGAAAAAATGTTATGAAAATTCTTGAATGAGAATATAAAGAAATATGATATGACGAAACTGATAGAGGTCAAAGTAGATAGTAGATAAAAGGAAACTGTTTTATAGGAAGAAATACTACGTTGGCAAAGAAAGGGTTATTTATCTTTGAATTATTATTTGAATAGCTGATATTTTACCACATTGTGTGGTAATAGATATCTACTTGTAATATGCAACAGTAGTGTAATGCCATAACAACAATACTTAGAGAAGCTTGCACTTGCCTTACACCCAAGAAAATACACCAAGTACCTTGTTATTAAGTAATTTTATTATCATTCCTATAAAATTACATTTCATTATCACGTAGGGGCATATCAAAAGAATGAACTGTCTACATGTGATAAATGGATCTGTCGCAACATATATATATATATACCGATCAACTCAGCTTTAAGCTTCTCCAAACCTAAATCGGTAGTAAAATGGACTCCATTAAATGCACAGACATGCAAAGTGCGACAAAGTTCGGAAGTACTTCTTTCATTCAAATTCCTATAGGGACCTATGTTCCACCACTAAAAAGAATGAAAATATAGCTCAATGTATCTGCGGGTTCTGTCTTCAAACTAATTACAGTCTATGAAACCTGTCTCAGAACCACGCAGATGTCGTTAAAGCTTTAAGGGCGCTTCTCAGCTGACATATGCACAGATTCACGTATCTTGTTTGTTTTAACCTTAGACTAGGTAGGCGTTGAAAACACAACATGTTGCATAATTTCTTAGGCAAGCTATATATGCTCGTAATATGTCCTTTTGACAACAACACTGCAATAAACAACAAAGAAAATACCAACATGTCAGCAACACCTTAACTCGTACTAAAATTTCATTAAATTTGGTCAAAAAGAGTTGCATGGAAATTCTAGGAGGTCCGGAAGAGTGAAAATCTTATGTTTCATCGACTGATTTCGCCATGTAAACCTTGGTGATGTCACCTTCCCAAATAAGAACGAGGTAAAAATTGGACCAACAAGCAATTAATGAGCATCAAACACGTTCGAGATCATAATAACGACTTTTATACTTCCACGGTATCTTCATCAGCCTGCATCTCTCGAAACCCTGTGTCGTGAAATTGTTTATCAGTTGCTGACATCTCGTATGGAAATCGTGATATCGGGAACAAGCCAATGAAAATCGATTCACTAGCGACATGTAAACACTATAAGGTTGAGATGCAGAGCACTCCTTTAAGCAATCTATTTCCCCTGCTTCACAACTAACAGGAACAAACTCTAGCATGTTACAATAAAATGCAATGACAAATACTGCAGTAAATAAAGTGAGATGTTTTCTATCATGTACTTCATAATATCGCAGCTCTTTGTTTTGAAAATTAAATTATACGCTGGTAGTTAAATCAATACAAATACAGCATAGCAGCTAAATCATTTATTTAAATGAAACTCAAATTCATATCTAGTGAGGTATCCAAACGCTTTTTCTCGGATTTTCCTCATATATGTAAATCCACTGTTTGGTCTACCAGATTACTCGAGGCTACCTTCAACTACATCAAATAATGCCGTTATCACATTCGTTATGTGGATTTTAGAAGTATTAATTGTTCTTTGAGAAGAAATTTGTATCTCACACTGGAAGGGCGATATCTCCAGCTGACATTCTATTAGCAATGACAATCTTAATATTTGTTTTGTTAAGTTTGTGCGAAAGGCAAACATGCGAATAGCACATTAATGTACAAATATAGATTGTAGACAGACAGATAATGATACAACGAAGATTGCGAGTCCAAATATGGGAAAACTTCTAGAAAAACCAGAAACAATTTGTTATACTCTTACATAGCATGTGCTAACCATGCGAAATATGGTTTTATTTTAAATGAGACGACGCGCTGGTATTTTGTCACAACAGGATAGGCTTTGCTATATAGTCCTTAATACGACATCCCAATACACTGTCATGTTGCGGTGTAATAGCCTGATAGATAAAATTTAGATTTCTCATTCACTTATACTTCTAACGCTAAAGAGATCCTGTAAAAGCATTCTAATTTTTTATTGTTTCCGGAGTCGAAGAAAAGTCGATAAAATAGTTACTGTACAATTTTATTAAAAAAAGATTGTACAAAACACACACAAATGAATAGCATCTTTTCATAATTTAGAGTAAGATACATCATTAATATAGGGAACCCTAGTCCGGGCTTTGATTTAACTTCGGTAAAAATAAGATACTTTGCAGTATATCTCAACATTTGTGGACAATATCAAGCTTCATTGATGATCCTCTTGAAAAGGTATTCGTCACTGAACCATGTTATTATCATAATCCCAATTGATTTTTATTCTAATCCCGAACAGTACAAAAGTGCAGTTATGAATCAAGCCAAACTCAAGATTGGATTCATTGGGGCTGGGGCGATTCACTTTGGTAGACCGGAAGTACCCTGGGATCATGCGTCGCGCCTGGAGAAGATTGGCGGACTTGAGGTAATTGGAATTGTTGACCCTGACACCCGTCGGAGTGACGAGGTACTTAAGGACCGACTGGCCTCTCCGGACTACGGACACATGTACACAAACTGCCGTCTCCTTGCAAACTACGAGGAGTTACTTGCAATGAACCCGGATGTTGTCTTCATCGGCAGTCCCCCGGGTTATAGAGGATCCCCTTTGGGGGGAAAGAATATAGAACTTGAGTTCACTCGAGCTGGGATACATGCTTTTGTAGAAAAACCTCTGTCGGTTTTGCCACCAGAAGAGTTCTCGACCTACGCATGCGCAGTAACGGAGGCGTGTCGGGTCAACAACATCGTGCTGTCAGTTGGCTATAAGTTTCGGTAGGGACACTTTTCTTGATCATTGGTTGTATATCATGTATAGTTTATATCTCATATATGACATATGAGAAATAATTTTGTCATCCTTTCCAGTATCACAGTGTCCATAGGCAAAACCCTTAGGGCGATGAAGAATCACTATTCCAAGCACTTCTTCTGAAATGAATTTCTGAATACAGAAAAGAATTGTACATTCACGCATTTCCAAGATTATCTTTTTAGAATAGCATTCTTCTGAAATCCCCAATGCTGACTGGGCGTTAAACGCTATTATATCTCTCACTATCTCATTACCCACAACAAACACCTTCTTATTGTTGCGATACTTTAAAGCTTCCTAAGTGGCATGAATTTAGCCTCCCAGTTGCATACATATAGAAGGTTATTCTCTTATTCTCTCTAAATACGTTGCAGCAAGGATTAGAACACGCTTATGTAATCATGAAATGTGTAAAAATATCAAATAAAAATTCATCATCAACACATCAACAACCATAACCATCCTCATCACGTCCTCCTCCTTTTCCTCCTCCTCCTCCTCATCATCATCATTCACGAATCAACCTCTATTTAGTAATTTATTTCATTTAAACGTCGTTTAGTTCATACCTGCTTTGTTATGTTAAAATGATAAGACCCCATCTGAGGCTAATGAGATATAAATGTTATTCAATTTCGATGGATATTTTCGCAGGTACCATGCAGCCATCCTAAAAATGAAGGAATTGATTGCTCAACACGGCGGAAAAGTGATGGCATTCAATGCCCGCTATTACTTTGCCTACACCGAAGGTATTAACAAATACTGGTTCAACTCCGATATCAGCGGTGGACCAATTGTAGAACAGGCTACCCACTTCTGTGACCTAGCTCGGTACATTTGTGGGGAAGTCGACATGTCGACACTAGATACGCTCTTGCTAAACGATTCAGACGAGGGCGAGGCCGGTAAGCTGAATCATCTCTCTAACCAAGCAGAAGAAGACATCCCCTCTTGTAAACGGATCCCCAGAGTTACACTTAGTCACTGGAGATTCCAGGACGGTGGTCTCGGTACTTTGATGCATTCTCTTACGCTACCTGGAAGTCGTTACCATGTAACTTTTGATGTTCAGTTGGACGGTCTCCAACTCTCCTTGATAGACCCGTACGGAAGTTCCAGTATCCTGAGGGTCCGGAGTCTAGAGGGCGGAAATCCCAACCAGGACCAAGACTTGGTTTTCGAGAACGACATGTACCTCAGAGAACTGGATACATTCATTATAGCTGTTCGTCAAAAGAAGCAATCCCTAATCAAAAGTTCTTACGAAGACGCCATGAAAACATACGAATTTACCTGGGCGATACGGCGACAGGGAGAGGCCAAAATGAAGTGAACAACATAAAGCCATCGTTTTATGTCACCTACATTAATCATACCATGATGTACTCACTATAGAATAAATTACGACGTCCGGGATTATTCATGTATGCTTTTCTACTTTTTAACCGTTTGTTTAGTGTAAAGAACATATTTTTTATAAACAAGAAGAAACTAGAGTCAACTAGGTTATTTTCCATAATTTTCCCATATCGTTTTCGTACTTTAGATCGCTAAATCCTTTGGCACATTATTCAGCATCTTTCTCCTTGGATTGATTAAACATAATACATTAAGAAAATAATACACTGTTATATAAATTCTATAATTTTAACCATTTATAACATAACATTTACACTACTAGACCAATATCATTCAATTATCAGTACATTGCTTGGGCGATGCCTCTCTGAATTGAACAAGCTATAGTGTAAAATCGAGTATTTTTTCGGGGCTTAATTTTCGTGATATTGAAAAAAAACTTACACCTGATTTCGTGGATAAATATAAATACTTATTTCAACAGTTTTGGAAATATAACTCGTGGATAACTGTTAGCAATAAAAACATCATTGAGGCAATCTATAGGATACGAGATGTTAACAGTATAACAAATGAACTACTTTCAATCAAAGAACATTGGTATGCTGGCTATTCAACAATAACATCTTCGCTGTCGCTGGTAAAATGAAACTACTTCTGGGCCACATACAACACAGAACGGAGGAATAATCAGTGGAAATCATATTGTGAAATAATTGGGGAGACTTTTGTGTCCTAGAAGACGATAATAACAATGTATAATCCTTGGTATCCCGCCTAAAGATATCTGTGTACAGTACTGATATGTTATGATCACACTACCACGATGGACAATATGATTTATCTTAATCAAGGTTTTAAGAAGAAATAATATCAAAACCTTAAGGTGGTCGGTTGGTGAAGTGGTCACACAGTCGCCTTGCTCCTGGACACCCGGTATTCGATTCCATAATGGACATGCGTCTCCTGGCCGACCACGTGGATACTCAATTTCCTCCCTCAGTAAGATTGTCGCGAGCTTTCACCCGAGCCCTCAAAGGGGGATTCATTTAAGTTGGAAAAAATTGTTTTGCAATTGTTGTGAAATTAATGATTATCTAGCGAACACGCAGCTTGATAAGTTATACACTGTTACTATACCCAACAGTGATTTTCGGGCGAAGTCGTGTGGCGATTCTGATTTGTTAACAGACATCTGACTTGTTTATCTACCTGAGATGTTTTTAAGCGGACAGTCTTTTCTCGGACAGATTGGTGAAGGGTGTGTACAGAAGAGGTCAAATCAAGGTATGCACAGACACGTGTTAACGTATTGGTAAACAAATAGACGTCGTTTATGGTGTTTGTTATTTTATCATACATTAGTGTACAACTAGTTCAACATACATAATAATTATAAATATGCATTACGGAAAATCTATGGTTTATCTTGTTAAGTAGCATACCTCGGGCGTTGTTATTGCTATGATTTTGTTTATAAAGGAACTTGGTGTATATATATGACTGCTTAAATTTTTGAACATCACAGAAGTGCAGGCATGAATGAAAAAACTCTGAAGATTGGATTCATTGGGGCTGGAGCGATTCACTTTGGTAGACCGGAAGTACCATGGGATCATGCGTCACGCCTAGAGAAGATTGGTGGACTAGAGGTGATAGGAATCGTTGACCCTGACACCTGTCGGAGTGAAAAGGTTCTAAATGAACGACTCGCCTCTCTTGACCACGAACACATGTATGCAAACTGCCGACTACTAACCGACTACAAGGAGTTACTGGGAATGAAACCGGATGTGGCCTTCATCGGGATTCCTCCAGCACATAGAGGGTCTCCTATAGAAGGAAAGAACGTAGAACTGGAGTTTGTTCAGGCTGGAATACATGTTTTTGTTGAAAAGCCGCTTTCAATCGTGCCACCAGAAGAATTCTTTGCTTACGCATATTCAGTTTCAGAAACATGTCGGATCAACAACGTTGTGCTGTCAGTTGGTTATATGTTCAGGTAAGGTCTATAAGACGGGATTATTTTGCATCAATGAAATATTAGAATTGTTATGAATCTTATTCGAAAGTTCCAAAATCGACTTTGGGTGGTGAAAGTACTTCAGCTTAGAGCAGTTTTTACCATATATGTTACGATACTAGTTTAGGTGCATACAGAATAGATTTTGCTTGTTGGCATTGTCGCCCGTGAACAGACAGGGTTATGTAGAGGCGAGGTCTTCTCGTAGTAGCAGTGAAAAAATATGGGAGGCCCATTGATATCATCCAGTGTAATACGACTAAAGTATGGTTCGAAAGGGAACACGCATGCCATTAGTATTGAACAGTTCGTTTCTCAGCTTCCATAGAAACAAAAATAAAAAAAGCGAATGAGCTGTGTGTCGTCTTTGCCCCTTGCAAACGAAGAGTTATGTTGCACAGGTACATAGCTACGTGATAAACCTACAGATTCCACAAATTTCTTCCCGCAATATTTCTTCCCCAAGGAAATACGTATTTAATAGTTTTTAGATAATAAAGATTAAACGAAAACAATTTGTGAACCCTTTCCCTGCAATTGTGACTGTAATTCTTAATGCAACATGACGCCTGATCGTCACACAAATATTGTCTGGTGGAAATAATGTACAAAAGCACACTTTGAAAACCATCGTTTTCGTCACGACCCATCATAAGTAAAGTCACTTTACAGAATACAATTTTAAACTCATCCAATCCTTTTGAAGCTGTCATTTAAAATAGCTTTTCAAATGAGAAAATATTGTAAAATAAAACCTTCATTGTACCAGGTTTTTAAATCACCGAAAAACACTATCATAACACCATATCTAACCAAAATTATGATAAATTTGATATGATACTTTTCTAGGAGGGTGTTTTTTGTTTTTGTTTTTGTTTTTTTTTTTCTGTGTGTTTTTTGTTTTGTTTTGTGTTTGTTTTCAGTCAACCTTAGCAAATTGTCTTTAAAACAATAATATAACATTGCATTTCCCCAGGTACCATGCTGCCGTTCTGAAGATGAAGGAGTTAATTCAAAACCATGGTGGGAAGGTTATGGCTTTCAATGCGCGCTATTACTTTGCTTACACACAGGAAACAAACAAACAATGGTTCAACACTGACTTCTTCGGGGGACCAATCGTAGAACAGGCCACCCACTTCTGTGACCTGGCCCGGTACATAGTCGGGGATATAGATATGACGTCACTGCACACTATTATGCTAAACGATTCTGATAAGGGTGGAGCCGGTAAGCTGAACAACCTAGTTAGCCAGGCAGAAGACGACATTCCGTCCAACAAGAGGATCCCTAGAGTCACACTCAGTCACTGGAGATTCCAGGACGGTGGCCTTGGCACTTTGATGCACTCTGTTACGTTACCAGGAAGTCGTTACCAAGCAACCATTGACGTTCAGTTGGACGGTCTCCAGCTCTCTCTCATTGATCCTTATGAGAGTACCAGTGTACTCCGAGTCCGAAACTTAAAGGGTGGAAATCCCAACCAAGACCAAGATTTCGTTTTCGAAAACGACGACACGTATCTGAACGAATTGGACACATTTATCAAAGCTGTTCGTCAGAGGAATCAATCCCTAATCAAGAGTTCGTATGAAGACGCCATGAAAACGTACGAATTGACCTGGGCGATACGGCGACAAGGCGAAGTCAAGATATAAAGCTTGGAAAATAGCTTTTTATTCTCTATCACAATCAACTTATACATGTAGAATCCTTCAGAACCAAAGCCTGCGTATATCTTACTTACATTAATACAATATTCAGTTTTAATTATTACATGTTTTGGGATTGCATCCCTTGATTGTCAACCATACCTAAATTAAAATAAAAGAACTTCTTTAACTCGAAGTCGACGTAATCATATTTATTAAAGCTGTTCGTCAGAGGAAACGATCCCTTATCGACAGTTCGTATGAAGCCGCCAGCTGAACGTACAAATTGAAATACGGCGTCAGAGCGAAGGCAAGATGAAGTGTCCTGAATTAGAATTCTAATACGTTAATAATTTATTATATCTACTAAAATTGTTTGTAAGTTCACCATGATATAGTAATATAATGTGTACACATAAAAGAAACAATCTTCGTTAAAGTGTTGTTTGATGCAAATTTAAGAATTGGTCATAGTCTACTTCCTAGTGACAATTTATAATTCATAGATATCTGTCAGCATTTACGATAAGGATATATGTGTACTTGCTTTATCTGGTGTAAAGAGTCTAGCGTGAACAATATTCTGGTATCAAGGAGCTGGCCAATCCTCCACACAGGGAAACCCTTGGCTCAGGTACTATATACAAACAAGGAATAAGACCATTTAATATCAGATTCTTAATTGCATTGCATATGATATTTACTATAGAAAGGATTAATCGTTGTTGGAAATTGCATTGCCATATCTAAACCTTATAAGGTATGACTTAGTTTTAACATTATAGAAATCAACTTATTTCCTGAATGGTTGTCGACGCGCGACCATAAGCTCGCTGTTAATACATTCTTTTGTAGAAATGCCAAAAACAATTCCAGTCAGGAAATATTCTTGCATTTATTTTTATGCTTTTAGTATATATGAATAAGCAATAGGGTAAGGTATTGTGAAAACTGTTCCAGAGTCAAATAGAATGACTAACAATGGTATGCTTATATTATGTTGGCATCCGAATGGCAGCATGCTTCATTATTGATACTATTTTTTCAAAATACTAAAATCAGATAAATTTTTTCAAATCAACCATTTTTTTCCTATTTTGTCCTGAATATTGTGATCACTATTTGTTGTTTTACCTTGCTAGATGTAACATTTTTCAGTAGTGTATCTAATCAAAATGTCCTGTAGGTAGGGTGTAAGACATCGATCTTGTCTCTCTCTCTCTCTCTCTCTCCCCCCTCTCCCTCCCCTTAACAACTGTTCCTTTTTCTAATGTCAACCTTGGCACAGCTCTCTTGTAATCTATGAGTTGATTGTCCGTCACGAATCTCCTGACCGATAAAAGTCAATACAGTTTATAAAACTTTCTGCTGTTTGGACAAGCGTAGCGATGGTCCGACGACATTACAATAGAACAGGATAGGGCACCATGCTGCTGTGTCCAGGTTATAGTCTGTCAGTATTATGACACTATATTAAGACAGTCTTCGTAAGAAGTTTTTGTTGCAGGGACGGGAAGGATATCCGATCATTTTATCAGTTCACGGATTAAAAGGAAATGATAAATCGTGATATCTGTAGTAGTTGCGTTTTAAATTCAATAAATATTTCTTGAAGTTCCTGTCTGTGTATGTACAAATATTAAAGAAAGATACAATATCTATCCACTGCAGGTATGTCGGACATCATCTTAAGAATCGGCTTTTTAGGAGCTGGATGTATTAATTTCGGTCGATGGAACGTTTCCTGGGACCATGCGTCACGTCTTGAACGTCTTGGTGGTTTCAAAGTTATAGGCATTGTGGACCCCGACACAGTGAAAGCGAAGCAGGTATTACAGACACGGTTGGCGTCACAAAATGGCAGCTTCTACACGGAATGTCGAATAATGGCTGACCTCGCCGAATTAATTGCACAACGTCCAGACGCTGTTTTTATAGGTGTGCCACCCGTAGCTCGGGGTAGCCTTCAGTATAATAAGGATCTTGAACTGCAGTGTGTACGGGCAGGCATCCACGTATTTGTAGAGAAGCCCATGTCAGTTCTGCCGCTTGACGACTTCCGGCTGTATGCTGCAGCTATGCAGAAAGCAGTAGAGGAATCCAATGTGGTTCTCTCTGTAGGATATATGTTCAGGTATTTAATTTCTCACTTGTAATAAACTAAAGTATTTAAGGCATCACTGAGATATAAAAGAAATATAACTTATATCTATATTAAAAATTACAAAATCCCCTACTGCTTCCTGATAATTGATGGTCAGACTTATGGTCCCAAAAAGTAAATTAAAACTTTTCCGCACTGAGCCTTTGAAAAGAAAAAACATATTTGCGATATGAAGCTGAATGTGTCTGACGCTCGTTTTCTGTTGGTTTCGTTGTTGTATACCTTGTCCTCATTTGAGAACGTGACATTAATTACTTGGATTGACCAAGGTTTTTATGACGAGTGTCGTCGATGAAGCAGTAAACGCTCACTCTTCCCGAACACTAGGTCTTATTCTTCTTGTACTTTTTTGAGGAGTTTCCGTGTAAATATTTCCTATGTCATTGTTTTATTGAATTTGAGTTAGGATTATTGTTATCTTGACATGTTGATATTTTATTGTTGTTTTTTTTTATATTGTTTAAACCGGTAAGCACAATCAATATTCATGAGAAAAGCTGTCTATCTCAACAAAATAATGCGTACCTTCACTTTACAGATATCATGCAGCAGTTAGGAAAATGAAAGAACTGATGAAAGAACACGGAGGAAAGGTCATGGCATTTAATGCACGATATTACTACGCATACACTGAAATGACCAATAAATATTGGTATAACGCTGACCTGAGTGGTGGTCCGGTGATTGAGCAAGCCACTCATTTCTTTGATCTGGCCAGGTACATTGTGGGAGACGTTGATTTATCATCCATACACACACTCATGCTTGAAGAAGACGACCGCAGTGGCGCGGGCCACATCGGACATGTTCCGCTGGGTGCAGAGGAAGATATTCCACCACGCAAAAGAATCCCACGGGTCACCATCAGTCACTGGAGATTTGAAAATGCAGGGGTTGGAACTATGATGCATTCGATTGCGTTGCCTGGTACAAGATACGAGGCAAATATTGACGTTCAGCTGGATGGATTGAAATTGTCCCTAATAGAACCATATCAGGAAAGTTGTATTCTACGCATGCGTTCAATGGAGAACGGGAAACGTGACGTGGACAAAGATTTTACATTTGAAGGGAGTGACTCCTACAGTACGGAGCTGGAGACGTTTTTGCAGGCCGTCAGAAAGAATGATCAGTCACTGATAAAAAGCTCTTACGCGGACGCCGCAAAAACATATGAACTTACTTGGGCAGTACGACTCAATGGAGAACGGAATTTCAGGACCTAGGGAATGAAGAGTAGGTGGTCAAGTAATACAGGCGTATGAGGATTGATGAAAAAAATTATTGAAATTAAGCGGAGATATTGACTAACGATGCACTTTATACAACCCTTTTGAAATTTTCAAGTTGCACTTTAATCAAATTTTGTTTTTCAACGTTGGAAAATATAACTAGACTAACAAGAAAACACTACATGCACTTTATAACAAAGAGAAATCTGTGCTCGATCTTTACGCAGTGCTTAAATAGGGAAATGGCATGTTAAATACAAATTCAAACTTTATATCATTCTCCATACAGATATAAGTGTAACGATAATACTGGTGTGTTCACCTATCAGATGTACTTTTTCATGTCATGCTTTAAGTATCGAATTACTACTCGTTTGTGTATCTACAATGAAATAAATGAAGTATCCCTGGACTTTTGTTTGAGATCTTGATAATTTGTTCGTGCTAGTCTCTGTTCTATACTATTTTACCCTCAGTGTAAATGAATTGTTGACTTCCTTGTATATATTTTACATGAGAGGTCGTTTAATCCAGTAAGTCAATACTTATGTGATATTCGATAAATTTCTATATTTAGTTTCATATCCTTCATACCTGTAATCACCCTATATAACCGTCGGTAAACGTCGCTCCGAGTTGTCAAGCTTCTGATGCATAGACTCTTGTTTGTGTTGATGAGGAAACCTACACAATGACATTGTCATGATGTGTTAAAGCATGTCACGCGTTATCTGTTGACCAACGACCCCACTTGACTTGGTTGTGGATAAAACTGGACACTGTATTCATGTTGATTTTCCTGCTGCTGTTGGACAACCCATCGTGTTTGTGTTTTAAAATGTTTTATTAGGAGTTCACCATTCACAGGTAAGTGAAATACAGAATTTGCAATGAAAGTATTCTCAAGAAAATATTTCTCGTATTTCTCTGTTGTTGACAAGGGGGTGGGGGGCAATCATCATTCAGGAGCACTGATGTTTTCCAAGTTGTATCCTGTTAAATCGTCTCTCTATCTACCCTCCTTCTTCCTTATTCAGTATCAAGATTTGACAATATTGATATTTCGTAATATCTATGCCTGTTTCCCGTGTTTGTCTTCATGAATAGTGTTATCATTAAGCAGGGGTAAAACGATATCGTTAGAATACAAGTTCTTATAACACAAAGTGTTACTTTTCTATGACTAGACTACACTGTCACCTTCATCAAACAAATGACTAGTGAGGAGCGTACTAGCACTGACGCACGTAGTATACGAGATGGAATCGACCAACTTTTCGGCTGTACTATAATCGCATGTACACCGAGATCGTATGCATACTAATGTCGAAAAAAGTGTAAGGAGCTGTAGAAAAGATTTTAGACAAAACAATAAAGAAAAAAATACACAAGATGACAACAAGATACTTTGTGTAACACTAAGTCATAGATGTGCGAGAGTTTATGGCCCCCTCGTCCCTGTTTAGTACTGGTCATCTGCGGCGTATCCAGATGGCTTCTTTTAACAGCTGCATTAAAAGGTTGTTTCCCGTTGTATTTTCTCAATCAATGATATGATTTTGCTGTGTGGAATGACCTGTGAGTGCCGATTTATTGACCTTGGACTGTGAATGTTTTCGCTGTGATCTAGTGAACTTTTTGCCTTCCTGGGATTTCTGATGTTCATTAAGTCGGACCCCTAATCTCCTCCATGTTTCTCCGATATTGGATGGGAGTTCTTGAGTCCGATTTTGTATACGCATTCTACGACGTTCTTTTTGGATGTTTTGTCCTTAGAATGGACTAGGATATTCCGGAGAGTCTTGTTAGGTTTTTTTTATCTGTTGCAATGGCATGGCCACGGCAAATCCTTTGAATAGTTTCTGACAGGCCTTTGATGTAAGGATATTGTGTAGGTAAAAGTTTGAGGAAAAGACAATAACACAACATGCTTTGAACGACCTGTCGTTTATCAACGAATGGCACAAAGGGCGTAAGTAATGAGTTATACTGTTGTCTAGTCTTTCTTGAACTCATTATTCATGCTAGAAACAAATCTTTTGCAAAGAAAATTTGTTAAAGTTTTGATATTGATAACTGAACTTGACATAACTTTCTATATCATTTTGTAAGGGTTCTGAATCGATAATAATATTCCTACATAAATATTGATTTTAAAGAAAATAGATACTGACGAATTATCCTCTCATCCACGCAACATTATATTCATAATCTATATTCCAATTAATATGATTCATTCATCTTTTGAAACGTTGTCGTTCTTGATAGGTCGTTGTATATGGAAACATATATTGTTATTATTTTTGTGACGAAGATGATGTTAAAAAAATCAGCATTCAAATGAAATATATCAATGATTAAAAAAAAAAGAAAACGGGAGTAATATTCTGAATTTTCTACTACTGATACTGATGAGGTATTTAAAAGGGAAAGGAATTAAATAGGGAAAATACATTCCTTAGAAATAAGATCAAATTATCAGAAACCATAATCAGTCGCAAATTTTTTTTGCGGAAAATGCACGATTCGGAAAAAACTGCGAAAATTTCCACAATCAAAAAACAATCTATATACTATCTCTGTTTTCCTTTTTGGTGGAGCTCCCCCTATTATCGAATTTTATACAGTAAGTCAAAATATATATCCTACATAAACAAAGCAATAGAAACTAATAACATCCCAATTACAGTGTGTTTGCACTGTCTTATCTATATACATTTTCGTTTTGTTTAAGCATTTGAACCTTTATACTGTATTATGTTATGGCCCGCCGTCGTGTGACACTGATAACACACTTACAGGTAAATACCTCTCTACACTGAAGATTAAACCCATCAATGACCATTCAAAGTTAAACACATACCCCTGTTTCCATATCTTTATGTACACTAAAAATAAACATCCGTGTCCGACATAATCTGACAAGACATCTTACTTATATTTCACATCTACACATATACCTAATATATAGGTCATGATATGTGTGGATGTCTCGCTATCTCTCGCCAGCCTATCATTCATAAACGAGAACGTATGAGATTGCCGATAAATAATCTCCTGATATGGGCGATTTATTATCGTCTGGCCTTCAGTCTGTAACATTGATTGCTAATATTCTGTCAGAATAAAAGTACTTGTATAGTTTTATTTCCTCTGGCGAGTCTGATACAGAGAGATAAACCTCTTATCCTGTGAATAAGACTTCCTGGACAACAGCCATGCTGCACAACAGACGGTAATCAACAGATATGTGACACTATATAACTCACCATATCAAAGATTATCGCCTAAAATTGAAATGAAATGAAGAAAACATCAATTTTCCCATAGACGTTAAATGGTGCTCTACTTTATATCTACTTCTCTCAAAGATAGAAATTTTTACCAATATGTCCAATCTTGATTTTTTGACATTTTAAAAATTGTTTCGACCAGAGACGTATATATCATATATGTGATATATACGTCTCTGTTTTGACACACATTATTACAGTATCATTAGTTATTGTCAGTTACAACACAAAAGGCGTTGAGTTACATACACCGTCACAGATGTACATATCAATATGTAGAAATACAAAATGCAGTGAAAACTAGCATCAATGTATATCTTTTATTCCCTTACCTTATAAACTACGATCCATTATCAAGATCATTATCATCCTCCGCTCAACAAAGTTGACGGGGATATTCAAATGATGCCGTCCGCCCGGATGCTGCTTTCCACATGATATCTTTTAAAGGACAGGTCAGATTTTGATGAAACATAGTAGGTGCACTTATTACCTTAACCCCTTGCCCAAGTTCGATTGATTGCAAATTCTGCACTTTTGTAATGATGCTGCTCTTACCTGATTGACTGATTTCTTGAATTACACTGTGAGAAATATTTGTGTGCATTGTCTTATTAAGGAAGGATACGATTTTTTTTTAGAAAACTTGCTTTATAGACTTATCACATTAATTCCTTGTTCAAGTTCTATGATCGGTAAATTCTGTGCATATTTCATGAAACTTCTTTGACCTGAATGACTGATATCTTTCGGCACTCTAACTGAAGGCTTTCCGCATGTTATCGTTTGAAGGAACAAATGAATTGTGATGAGACTTGCTTGGTAGAGTTATTACCTTAGCCCCTTGACCAAGTTTGATTAATTGCGAATTTTGCACATTTTTAATGAAGCTGCTGTGACCTGATTGGCTGATGTCTTTCAGTACCCTTACTGAAGGCTTTCCGCATGTTATCTTTCCTTGGAACAAATGATTTTTTATGAGACTTGCTTGGTAAACTTATTACCTAATCTCTGCACTCAAGTTCGATCAACCGTGAATTCCATGCATATTTAATCATGATGCTCTTACCTAACTGGCTGGTTTCTTGAAACAATCTTAAGCATCGCTTTCCACTCTTCTTTCAAAGAACCTATCAAATTTGTTTTGAGACTTGCCTAGCAGACTTAGTACCTTAATAACTCTCTTAAGTTTGATAATCAGCTAATTCCGCAAATATCTAATGCAACAGCTGTGACCTGAATGACTGATTGCTTTACACAGAATATCTTCTGAAGTATTAATAATATCTCTTACCGATTCGGAAATTTAGATGCCACAAAATCATGGAAGAAGTATGATAATGATAAGAAACAGAACAATAACAATAGGTCTTCTTACTAGTTGGTTAAACCTTCTAATAAACCTATGATAGTGAATCTTCAAAATGTTTTTTGGAGTCAAATGTTCAAAGTGATGTTGCACCATCACCAGCTATTCTTTCTTTTCCTGAAAGTAACTTTCTTGCAACTTTACAAACCTGACTATTAGATGCTCACTTAAAATGGATTTTGTAATGTAAAACATTACCATTTTCTAATATTGCACAAACGTCATTTTGTTTTCACTCATTTACAGGTATTCGCCAAGGAAACATGTTAACCTTTCTTTTTTTGTTGAGTATAATTTACAAATGAGCATGGGTGAGGGATCTTAATGACTAT